TATATATATATTTATATATATATTTATATATATATATATATATATATAAATATATATATATATATATATATATATATATATATATATATATATATATATATATATATATATATATATATATATATATATATATATATATATATATATATATATATATACTCTTGCATGGTAGTTAAAAAGAGTTTCCCATTAACTGTAGTTTTAAAGAGCGCGTTAATAAACGAGACCAGAAAAAGTTTAAAAAATTAAATTTTTTTTTTTTTTTTAAATAATGGACTGCCTGCCCAAACCAAACCCTCAGTCGATATAGCAGCACTCTCTTGCGAGTCAGGCTATTTGTCAGTCGATGTAGCAGCACTCCGTTGCGAGTCAGGCTATTTGTCAGTCGATGAAGCAGCACTCCGTTGCGAGTCAGGCTATTTGTCAGTCGATGTAGCAGCACTCTGTTGCGAGTCAGGCTATAAGATAGTCGATGTAGCAACATTTACGCATGTTTTAAAAATGTTTTTTAATAAAACAAAAACAAAAACACCACTAATAAAAAAAAACTTTCTAGTCGTTATAATTGCGGTTTTTTAAAAAATTTTTAAAAAACAATAAAATTTAATATACTTTGACGACAATCAAATACAGCTTAAGAGACGAGGTAAATAAAATTGTAGTCAAAAAAAACTTTTTTTACATTAAAACGCTCTTTCGACTACGCTATAAGGATATATATGTGTATATATATATATATATATATATATATATATATATATATATATATATATATATATATATATATATATATATATATATATACATATATATATATATATATATATATATATATATATATATATATATATATATATATATATATATATATATATATATATATATATATATATATAGTAGTAGTATAGTATTTGTATTTATTAGAACAGATAATACATGTTCTAAAGGACACGCAGGTCCAATATTGATGGACACTAACACCGTGCCCACCCAAAAAAATAAATAAATTATGTAACAGCGTACAACATTGAATAAATAATTTATCAAGGCCGACAAAACTTTTCAAAATTGATTGAGTTAATTTTCTTTTCAAAGATGTTGATATTATCGACATTAACAACATCGAAAGGCAACTGATTCCAAATGTTGACAACACGGTAAGAGAAACTAAATTTGCGAATATCTTGTCGACAATGTTGTTTGTGCAATTTATACTTATGTCTCCTAATGTTGTTTTTGTTGTCAAAAAGAAAGAACATAGATTTATCAATTAAGACCAAGTTATGCAGAATTTTGTAGCAAATCGATAAATCATGCTTTACTCGCCTTAACTCAAGCGACTCCAAATCAAGCAACTGAAGTCGGTTATTGTAGGTTAAATTGCCTAAGTGCAGGATTTTTTTTATGAAACGTTTTTGCACGTTCTCAACAACCTTTATTAGCTCAACATGATATAATGACCAAACTGGGGAGCAATATTCTAATATAGGCCTAATATATGTATTGAAGGCTTTTATTAAGATTCTAGAATCGGGAGACTTGAAGCATTTTAAAATAAGATATGCTCTAGTATTAGCTGAATGTACAATGTTTGAGATATGCTTTTTATAGTTTAGTTGAGAGTCTAGAGTTACACCGAGATCTTTCGGAATAGAAGACCAAGCTAAAATATGATCTCCTAACTTATAGTTAAAGTTAACAAATTTTCTCGATGAAGCAGGTACAATCCTATGAACAAAACACTTACTGGTAGAAATAGGTAGTTGCCATGTTTCGGACCAAATTACTACATTATTAAGAGCAATAGCTAAATAATGGCTATGGTCCGTATTGCAAAATGAATTTTATAACTTGATGTCATCGGCATAAAGTTTTAAAGAGCAATCAAGATAGTTGACTATAGCCGTTATATCATTGATATATAGTAAAAATAATGTTGGGCCTAACACGCTGCCCTGAGGAACTCCACTAACGATGCAAGTTAGGTTTGATAATGAAGTTCCAACCTTAACTTGTTGACTCCTATTGTTAAGAAATGCAGCAATCCAATTTTTTAAATTACCTCTTGTTAAATAAAGCTAGTTTGGCTAACAATTTAGGGCGTGATACAGAATCGAATGCCTTTTGAAAGTTGATATATACAACATCTGTTGTTAGATTATTGTCTAGTGCAGTACTCCAATCATTAACAGATTCTTAAAGATTAGTGCAAGTAGAGCGTTTCTTGAGGAAACCATATTGATTATTGGCTATTAAGTTATGGAGAGTTAAGTATTTAATAATATCTGAGTTAAAAATTCTTCTCATTGCACGACAACAGGTGCATGTGAGTGAAATTGGTCTATAATTATTAGGGTCTGATGTTGCTCCTTTTTTAAAAATTGGAGAAACAAAATCTTGAAGCCACTGTTGTGGTAGACTATTTGACTTAAAGCTGGCATCAAATATAAACGAAAGTGGGATACATAAAACAAGAGCTAGCTTTTTCAGAAGAATGTTCGGTATTCCGTCAGGACCATAAGATGTACTCGGTTTGAGATTGATTAAAGTTGAATAAACCGTCTCAACAGAAAAATTAATGTCTTCAATGTTTATCGAGTCATTAACAAAACTAGTAAAATTTGGTGAATAGCTGTTATCGTCCGTAAATACACTTCCAAAGTGTTTATTAAAAACTTCAGCAGTTTCTTTGTTGCTAGAAGTTAACTTGAAATTATTGTCTTTGTTCTTTATAGGGTAATTCCCTTTATGAATATTTAGTTTATTATTAACATAGTTAAAGAACTTACTGAGTTTATGGTCATCAACTAATTTGAGTTCGATTCTTTTGAGATAAGCAAACAAGGTTTGTTTACATTTGATGGCGTATGTTTTGTAAGCTTGTTTATGTAGAATGGTTTTATTAACGGAATTTCTTTTCCAAAAAAAAAAATTTTCGACTTAACATTTTCTTGATATATTTAGGGTAATGATGACTCTTTTTACTATGACGTATTTTTCTTACCGGAACAAAACGGTCAATCCCAATTCTCATATGATTATAGAAAATGTTCCAATATTCATCAATATTGAATACATAAGAAAACTCGTAGTCCCATTTAATATTTGAAAGGTAAATTAGAAAGTTATCTATATCAGCATTGATGAAATCATAAAAATATTCCGATTTCTTTTCGTACTGATATTTATCATTAATGTTTAAAGAAAAATGGACTGACTTATAATCGCTGGTACTAAAAGGGCACTCAACAGAAATTTTACTTAAAAGAGCATTGTTATTAGAAAAAACAAGGTCTAAAATATTGGATTCGCGTGTTGGTTCGTGAACAAATTGATGCATACCAAGACTATTGACAAGAGTTAAAAATAAGCTATGACATTTTTCGTTCGGTGAGATGTAGTTTACCCAGTCAATTTTTGGTAAGTTAAAATTACCCACAATAATAAATTGAGAAACTGAGAAGCACAAATCATTTATAATTAACATCATAGAGACGAGATAGTCAAAATCTATTTTGGAATAAGAAGGTGGACCGTAGCATGTAATTGAACGAAGTTTGAGGGTTCCAAAGACGTCAGCGCAGATAATATCAACATCATTATTGTTTTGAGTAATTGCAACTTGTTCGGACTTAATATCATGTCGACAATAAATAGCGACTCCTCCTCCAATTTTCACACGGTCTTTACAATAAATTGAATAGCCATTAGGACAAACAATGTCATTGGTTAGTTTATTGTTAAAAAAGGTTTCGCACACGCATATGAAAGCTGGGTTGACTACCTCTGTATATAAATTAAATTCATGAAGTTTATTAGCAAGGCTTCTGGCATTAAAAAGATAAACAGATACTTCTTTATTTGAATTATTTGTCGGGCTTATTTTAAAATTATTATTAATGTTTAAATTTTTTTGTTTTAAAGAGATGTTATTTTTTTTCTTGTAAGAGAAATTATTAGATTTGATCTTTTTGGTTAGTTTTAAACTTGACAATTCGCTCATCTTTGATAATAAACCGAAAGGGCTGGTTCTCAGCTAGATTATTTAATCTGTTTCTTTCTGCGAATAATATTTTCTTACTCTCTCGTTGAGCTAACGTAAGGTCTGGATTAATATAAACTTTGCTTTTGTATTCGTTTATAATCTCAACGAAAACATAACAAAACTCAAATAATACAATTTTTTAAACTATTTCAACAGAATACTCTAGAAATTTTTGGTTAGTAATTTTTGAACCAATAGAATTAGTTGTTCTTAGATTTGGCGGGTTTTTTGTGTTTTTTTTATTTTTCCGCACAAGATGTTTGAGAACATTCGAGTTTATATATGTTTCCATGTATGTCCGTAAACAAAATATTTTAAAATTTACGATAAAACAATCAACATAATTAAACGTTTTCAAAATGACTAAAATATCTGGCCAGTTTTTCGCAACTAAATATTATTTCTGTGGTCAGTTATCGAGTGCAATCGCACCCGCTTCCTGACCAAGCCTGTGTATATGTATATGTATATATATATAAATATATATATGTATATGTATATGTGTGCATATATATATATATATATATATATATATATATATATATATATATATATATATATATATTTATAAAAATATATATATATATATATATATATATATATATATATATATATATATATATATATATATATATATCAACTTTCAGAATTAGGGTCAGCATTCAGTAATGCTGACCTAACTGCCGACCTAGAAGTGTTTGAGGTTGGCAAAAAAAACCACCAACCATGTTTCTATGTTTTGCGGTCAAACCTTTGCTTTAGTTGATTTATTAGCACACCCTTGCATGTTTTCCCTAGATTGTCAGTTGATGTATATATTAAAGCCCTCATAGCTCGCTTTTTCAACTACGATTTTTATATGTATACTTGTGTTTGTCTGTATTTGTGTATATGTGTGTAATATTAATGTGCATTAAAAGACATGTATTGATTTCAAAATACAAAAATAACTTACCATCGTAGAATCATCCCGAGACAATATTAAGTAAGAGTGATAGTTCTCAACACTTTCCTTCTAAAACATTTTTAAGAATCTTTTTAAAAAAAATAGCTTTGTGCATTAATAGGCAGATTTTTTTTTATCAAGAAATCTTTTTTCTTGACAAAAAAAAATCTGCCTATTAATGTATATTTCAGGTATATGTTTCTATAAATATATTTATAGAAACATATACCTGAAAATATAAAACAATTTTTATTAAACCACATTAAAATAACAAAATAAAATGTTTGCTGTAAAATGATAATCAAATTAAAATATAAAATTATAAAAAAATAGAATTAGGCTGGCATATTAGGCTGACATCAAATAGGCTAGCGTAGATGTATTTATAATAGATTGTTTCCAGTTTAGGATGTTGAATGCTCAATCCTCTTAACTCATTGCATGGATTTTGCTTGTGTCTCTGTTTTTATGACTAGGCAACCCATTCTATTATCTCCTATTGAGGGTACTGCTCCATAACTCAGTTTTATGGTTCTTAGGGCAGCTGGTAGTTTGGTTTCCCAAATTCTGTGGAAACTTTCAGAGAAGCCATTTCCACCAACAGGTGATAAATATCAGGTTGCTAATAGTGCCATGTTTAGCATGGATGGTGTCCCCGTTTGTACTTTTAGTGTGCATTATCGAGGCATTTGGAGCCCTTTGTTGCGGTTTAGGGTTTACTAACAGTAATGAAGATATTGACTGGACTATTAAATGGTGTTCTGAGTACTATCTGTAGACTGTCGCATGGTTGGCCTGGGCATCTACATCCGTAAGAATTCACCCATTTGTCAGGAAACTAGGTTTGAATCAACAGACCATTCTTTTATATGATTTCGTTTAGCACTGCTTCACTTTATCACCTTTCTCTTTGTTCTATATTCTTCTCCTTCATCCCAAAACTGCATACTTTTTTATGTTATTTCCAATCTAGTTAACGAAGCCCTTTCTCCTTATCCTTCAGTCAATATCGTTGTTGTTGGTGACTTTAATGCTCATCACACTGAAGGGCTTGGCTCTAAGTTAGTAACTCTGCAGACGTTAAGACTTTTGCCTTTCTCATTCTCTAACCCAAATAGTTAACTTTCCAACTTGCTTTCCAGACAATACCAATCATTTACTTTCTCTACTCGACTTGTTTTATTTCTGATACTAGCCATTGCTCAGTTTCTCCCCATTCACAGGTGCCTCTGATCATGATTTGATCTCTCAAAAACTGTTATCTCATTCTTCTTCATCACCAGAATCCCTCTATCAGCAAAACAATTCTTTTAAAACTGTTATCTCATTCTTCTTCATCATCAGAATCCCCCTATCAGCAAAACAATTCTTCTAAAACTGCTATCTCATTCTTCTTCATCATCAGAATCCCTCTATCAGCAAAACAATTCTTTTAAAACTGTTATCTCATTCTTCTTCATCATCAGAATCCCTCTATCAGCAAAACAATTCTTTTAAAACTGTTATCTCATTCTTCTTCATCATCAGAATCCCCCTATCAGCAAAACAATTCTTCTAAAACTGTTATCTCATTCTTCTTCATCATCAGAATCCCTCTATCAGCAAAACAATTCTTCTAAAACTGTTATCTCATTCTTCTTCATCATCAGAATCCCTCTATCAGCAAAACAATTCTTCTAAAACTGTTATCTCATTCTTCTTTATCATCAGAATCCCTCTATCAGCAAAACAATTCTTCTAAAACTGTTATCTCATTCTTCTTCATCATCAGAATCCCTCTATCAGCAAAACAATTCTTTTAAAACTGTTATCTCATTCTTCTTCATCATCAGAATCCCCCTATCAGCAAAACAATTCTTCTAAAACTGTTATCTCATTCTTCTTCATCATCAGAATCCCTCTATCAGCAAAACAATTCTTTTAAAACTGTTATCTCATTCTTCTTCATCATCAGAATCCCTCTATCAGCAAAACAATTCTTCTAAAACTGTTATCTCATTCTTCTTCATCATCAGAATCCCTCTATCAGCAAAACAATTCTTTTAAAACTGTTATCTCATTCTTCTTCATCATCAGAATCCCCCTATCAGCAAAACAATTCTTCTAAAACTGTTATCTCATTCTTCTTCATCATCAGAATCCCTCTATCAGCAAAACAATTCTTTTAAAACTGTTATCTCATTCTTCTTCATCATCAGAATCCCCCTATCAGCAAAACAATTCTTCTAAAACTGTTATCTCATTCTTCTTCATCATCAGAATCCCTCTATCAGCAAAACAATTCTTCTAAAACTGTTATCTCATTCTTCTTCATCATCAGAATCCCCCTATCAGCAAAACAATTCTTCAAAAACTGTTATCTCATTCTTCTTCATCATCAGAATCCCCCTATCAGCAAAACAATTCTTCTAAAACTGTTATCTCATTCTTCTTCATCATCAGAATCCCTCTATCAGCAAAACAATTCTTCAAAAACTGTTATCTCATTCTTCTTCATCATCAGAATCCCCCTATCAGCAAAACAATTCTTCTAAAACTGTTATCTCATTCTTCTTCATCATCAGAATCCCTCTATCAGCAAAACAATTCTTCTAAAACTGTTATCTCATTCTTCTTCATCATCAATTCCCTCTATCAGCAAAACAATTCTTTTAAAACTGTTATCTCATTCTTCTTCATCATCAGAATCCTTCTATCAGCAAAACAATTCTTCTAAAACCAGTCTGTTTACTACTGCTAAAAACCATTGTAAAAAGGTTTTGTCTAACCCTAAAGCCTGCTATTCTCAGGTCACAAAATCTTGTATTTTATCTCAAAAATTAGGCTCTCGTGATTTCTGGAGAAACTTCAGCAGCATTTATAACAAGGACAAATCTGTTATTCCAATATTTTTGCAAGGTTCAGTTTTGTTACCTCACCTAAAAACAAAGCTGAATTGTTTGCTAAGAACTTCTCATCAATATCATCTCTTGATTCCACTAGTCGCGTTTAACCTGATGTAGCCAACAAACAGGTTAATCTATTTTGCCTGACCTTTCTATTATTCCAAGTTTCCATTTTGTATCTATGATTTATCTATGAATTCTTGCTTAAACTCTTTTACAGATAGTGGTTCGGACAACATACCTGCTATAAACTTGCAGAAGCGTTCTCCGGAGCTGAAAAAGGGGCATCTGTTATCACTATTTTCAAAATTCTGGAGAGCGATCTGACTCTTTTAACCACCGTCCCATTAGTCTTCTTACTATCATAAGCTAGGTTTGTTTGAGTCTTTGATTAACAAACACTCGTGAAAATGTTAATAAAATAATAATAAAAAGATCAAACAAGGATATTTTAGATTTTATAAAAAATAATAAAATAGCATTAAAAAAGTTGCAAAAAATAAAAATAAACAAATTGCTTAAAAAAAACTAACAATTTGCTTAAAATCAATCTCTCAAAAAACACACCCAACAGACCACACACACTAAATCAAAAACACTTAACACCCGACAAACTACACACACCAAATCAAACAGAACACACACACACTAAATCAAACAGACCACACATACCACTTTAAACAGAACACACACACACCAAATCCAACAGACCATACCCACCAAATAAAACAGACCACGCACACTACAAACACCACACACACACAGAATCAAAATTTAAAAGAGAATAGTAAAACTTTCAATTTTTTTACAAAAAAATTGAAAGCTTGTCAAAAAACACCCAACAGACCACACAAATCAAATATAACAGATCACACACACCAAATCAAACACACCACACACACCAAATCAAACACACCACACATACCAAATCAAAATTTAAAAGAGAATAGCAAAACATTTTTTTACAGTAAAAAAACTTTCAAGTATTAATAAATCTTTTAAACTTATAATTTCCATTTTTTGCAGATTTAAATAAAAACTCTTACAGATGACTTTCCACATACTGTCCACATATTAACACAGCCTGGAAGTTCAAATGTTGTAACCACTTGTGGACGAATACTTCTCTAAAATATATAAATTACTAACTAGATTTTTTTTTTATCAATTTTATTTTCAGCTTTTTTATCAATTTTATTATTAACTAGTTAAACAAAGCTGTACAACCTTGCTTTGTTTTAGTTAAAAATGCAAAAAAAGTTAAATACTTGATAAATGTATTAATACAAACAACAGCAACCAACATGCCCATGACAAACTATTTTCAAATTTATACCACTATAATTTTGAAAACAATTATTTATTAGTTTTCATTTTTTTAATGCAATAAATGCAAAAAAACGCAGAGTAAAAATTATGTGCAGAAGTGAGGAGAAAATTTATAAATATTTTAATTAAGAAATCTTTAACCACTAAAAATAAAATTGCAACCTGTAAAACTGTTAATGTTCCATTTTTACCATAACCTGAGCAACAGACCATTTCAAGATCTATTTGGCGAGAACCAAAAAACTAAATTAAAAATGTATTCAAGAGCTCATCAAAATATGTTGTATTATAAAATAAAAATTTCAAAATATTAATTTCAAAATATTAACAAACAAATAAACAATAATTATAAACAATCAAACAAAACAAACAAACAATTAACATCAATTATAAAATAACTATTTAAATAATAACAAACCTCTTCCTGATAACAGCCATTTGCGTTAATAAAAAAAAAAAAATTAATATTCTGAAACAACTTAAAGAAATCGAAAATTTTTATAACTAAAGAAACATAATGAAACATGTGTTTCATGAAAATATTACACATAAACATAAAAAACACAGATATGTTCTTGGAAAAAGAGATCATTTATGGAATAAAAAATATTTAGAAAAAAACTTACAGAGAGAAAAGCTGGTTCACCAAGCGCAGCTTTTGTTATAGGACCAATATTTAATAAACTATCACACACCTTTAAAATGAATATTAAAATATGTTTGTTATATATCAAATATGATTGTTTCATTATAAATCTCAATTATTTTATAAGTATAACAATATAAATTTTATTTCATAAAACATATATATAAGATAAAATTATAATACACCTATAGTACAGTACATCTGATTAAATAAAATAAATTTAAAACAAAATAAAAAAATTTTAATAACTTACATTGAAGGTATAGGTGGTAATTACACTTAAAGTTGGCTCTTCATACTCACCATATAGCAGTAAATCTTCATCTTAAAAAAATAATTAATTTTATGCGTGGATGTAAATATTATATGTAAATAATATATACATATATATATATATATATATATATATATATATATATATATATATATATATATATATATATATATATATGTATATATATATATTTATATATATATATATATATATATATATATATTTTTTTTTTATCACGTTAAGGTTACAAACATATGCTTGTAACAAGTATAAAACCAAAGTTTGTATTTAATTAGCAAATTTTTTAATGAATAAACAGATAGCTCCTGCAAAAACCAAAAACTCTTAAAATAAATAAAATAAAAGCTAAAAAATAAATAAAATAAAAGCTAACTTGCATGATTTGCCATGTATTATCATAACTTTTTTGGGTTTTTTATTTTCCTCTTTCTAGCGGAATTGTCAATTGCTCCTCACTGACATTACCTATGTTTTTCGGGTAAGAAATCTAGGTGTGAGTGTAACATAAATTTTTTTGGACATAAGATAACCAAGTTTCATGAACATTTTAATAAGCTTTTTTACCAGCAGTTGTTTGTAGTTAGGTTCTTGCAATTTCTGTAGAACCCATGAACAACATCTGAAACGCATACCAAGCTTATTTTATCTTTTTTTTTTACTTTAACTTTGTTGATTACTCTTTTAAGTCCCAAAAAAAACAAAAGAAACTTTATTTTCTTTAAGCAAAAGAAACTTTATAGGACAAAGAAAACATTCTCACTTAGCTTGCAAGGAAGATACATAAAAATTTTTGTTTACACTTGTTTATTTTTAATGACGCATTTCTTTGTAACTCTTCAAAAAATGACGTTTTTAAAGCAGTTTATTTATGTTGATTTTTAGAATTTATTTTTCAAATAAGATTGCTGGAAGTTAACTTTAGATTTTTTGACATCCTCTGGCAGCCATATGAGAAGAACAGAACTTATCCTGTCAACACAAATACAATTATATAGAGTTTTAGATATGTATTTGGAGTAGCCATAGTTTTTAAAACAAATAATTTTGGTTTTAGACGTAAACTTTAAATGCATATTAGATGATAGGCATGCAAAAAAACTTTTTATAATATTTATGAAAGATACTATTTTATATTATTTATGAAAAAAACAGAAACAGAGAAGCCTGTGGGTAATGTACCTATTAATGACATATTTTTCTGTCTACAATATACATGTATGTCTGTCTAGTAAACTACTACTTTTCTTTCCTTATGCAACCCTAGGCTGCAAGAAAAACACACAAAAAATATTCCATGAAATGTTTTATGAGATACTGACGATGAATAGCTTTTGATTTAATGTTTATATCAAATTTTTAAAAAGAATTTTAAAATTTGATTTGAAGAACTCTGTGAGGAATGTGTTTACATTTGGTGCTAGTGCAGCTAAAATGTCTTTCCCATCGTCAAAAATATCTGGTGGAAATACAACTGAAATATTACAGTAAAAAAATAATGTCTAAAACATTTAAATCTATTTTACTCAGTAGAAATTGCATAACTATATATTTAGATATATTATCTAGATATATTAACTAGATATAAAAAAATTTCAAGGTGCGTACTCAAAATAAAGTAAAACTATATTTTAATTTAAGTTTCATTTTTTTTTTTTTAACATATTTTTTTAAAATATATTGTTTGTATTATTGACTTTTATTATTCATTGTAAAAACTTTTTTTTGAGAAAGCATTAAAATAAAAAAGTTGTCAGTTGGGTGGCACTAAAAACATAGGTTGGCGCTAAAAACATAGGTATATGTAGCTATGTTTTTATCTTTAAAAAATAATTTTATTGAGCTGATTACTCAATAAAATTATTTTTTAAAGATAAAGTCTTTTCTAAGGTAGTAGTTTGTTGCTTTTGGCTTCAAATATATTTATAGTTACACAGAAAAGACATTTACTTTTTACAGAAAAAAAAGGTGAGGAGCTTTCTTTGAGAACATAGCCAAACCCAACATAGTTTAGTAAGTAAACTTAGTTAGACACCATTAGTGTTTTAATCAGAAAAAAAAACTTTACGAGAGCAAAACAGGGGAATAATGTCAAAAAAATTTTAGATGCAATGTTAGAAAACATAATTTGCAAAATTATTAAATATTTAAGTTCAATTTAAAAAAGATTTTAGTAATTTATTACAATAATACCACCACCGACACCACCACCATATATTTTCTTTAAAAAGTTTTAAATTTAAAAATTCAATTATTTAAATTAAAGTGATCAAACTTTTTTTTTCATTCTTAAAATCAGCAAAGTTTAACTCAAAATTTCAAGGTTTTAGCATATTATTTTATCTTTAATATATTATAAAATATTAAATTTATTATATTCTAAATTGACTATGGAATATTAATATAATTAAATGATATAAATATTAAAATAATTAATTGATATTTAGAAGTAAAAAAAAGAAGTAAAAAAAAAAGTCTTTTTATGTTATTATAGCCACAATTAATTGTTTTTTTCTTCAGTGAAAAAAAACATAAAAAATACAAAAAGAATAGAAAAACATTAAATTCAAATTGGATATTTCATACTAAAAACCATCATTTTTATTTAATTATCTTGTAGTGTCCTTGAAAAATGAGCAAATGCACAAATGATAGTTTTAAACTTACTTAAAAATCATTCAGTCATTGTGATGACATCACACAAAGCAGCAGATATTGAAAAGGTTTATAAATGAATGTGATGACATCACACAAAGCAGTAGATATTGAAGAGGTTTATAAATGAATGTGATAACATCACACAAAGCAGCAGATATCGAAGAGGTTTATAAATGAAAAGATCGGTTTATAAAAAAATATATAGTTAAAAATAGTTAGCTAATTATATATAACAATAGAAAGCAAAAACAAGAACTTAAATCAAGTATAAAAAAACACTGTTTAGATAGAGTAGATTATTTTTGAATTTGATTGAAATTCACCCTATTTTACTTGAAATTAACAATAAGTAAAAAATTATAATTTTTATCGTAGTATGTAAAATGAATTACAGTAAAAAAAGTATAAGGGTAGATTTAAAGTAACAAATTGTTTTGAATGCTTTTTTCAAACATAAATGGCTTTATAAAAGTTCATGCTTTTATTTAAAATTAAGTTATTAGTAAACCCTTAGTTTTAAAAACTCAGATTTTTTTTAAACTAGTTAATCTTCCAACAAGAATTCAATTTTGAAAGTCAAATTGATGATTTCAGTCATTCTGGGAGGTTTTTGACATAATTGTATACAGCAACAGTGAATTTTTAAAAAGTTTAATCATGAGACATAATTGTATGACCATAGTGACTTAGAGTATAACTTAAATTGTACTTGTTCTCAAATCTTAGCACTTATGTTTGAGAAGGTACATTAACCATGTAATATAAACAAAATAAAGTAAAGAATTAACAGTTTTTTATCTATTTCAAATAACGAAAAGAATTTTTACCAGTAATGCTGAGTCTTCTTTTTTTTTGCTTTGGAGATAGTGGTAACTGCAAAAAATAATTATTTAATCAAATAAATTACAAAATAAAAAAAAAAATAAAAGATAACAAAAGATATTAAATTTTTTTTACCTCAACTTTAGCTTCTTTTGATTTTTCAGCTAATTAAAGATTGAAAAATAAATAAATAAAAAAGAAGAAAAATAAAACATATTTTTTTAAAAATGTAAGTTATCTGAAAATTTTATTATGTTACATCTATACTTTTACTATGTTTTACTTTTAGTAAAATAGACTACAATATAAATTAAACACACAATATAAATTATGCAAAAAAAAATTGAGACTGACATTAAAACTAAAGAATGTCATTAAAGATCAGTTAAACACTAACCAAGACAAATTTACTACCAGACATATTTTTATTGTGGTAGTGTATTATGTAGAAAAATCAACTCATTGTTGTATTTATTCTGCAATAAAAATATTTTTTAAAAACTGCATAGACTGTTACACATTCCCAGCTACAAAAACAGGAGGAATGTAATTCGTATTTCACCATTACTTTAGATTTTGGATCATACTTTTTCCACTAGGTTTAACATTAGATTGCAGAGCTCTATATGTAAAAACTGAGCAGATAAATTTTTAAGCATATACTTTATTAACAATACTTTAGCAACAAGCAATACTTTATCAACAAGCATGACAAGGAGCATTGTCGACTGCCATAAAAAAATCTTCTTAATAATTTCCAAATGATACCCACAACAGAATTATAGCCAACATTCACTCTTTACAAGAATTTGTATTAAGTTATTATAAGCATAATAACAACATTTGTTGTAGATGTAGCTTCAACCAATTGCTTTTGAAATTTTTATTATTGCTCATTATTGACAACCATGAAATGTTTATTGTTTTGTCAAACATATTCAGCTTCTGTGTTGATGCTTCTTTTGAATTGTCTTAGTTTTGATGGCAACCATCAAAATTAAGAAACTAAGACAATTTAATAGAAGTTCATTTTCAATTCACGTTATCATTAATTCAATTTGATCTTCTGTTAATTTTTTTGGCATATATAATAAAGAAAATATAAATGTTACTGCAAACCCAATTGTATGCTGTTTTGTATTTGACAACAAAGTTTGTACTAGAGTCACTCAAACATCATTTATAACAGCGCATCAAACAATGCTTCTTTTGTCATTTTGTAATGATAAAGCCTATTTTCTTTTTTTTTTTAATTTTTTTTAAACTTTTTTAAGTAGTTTAGCTACATGTATAGTAAAGGAAAAATAAGATTTTTTAAATAGAATAAGGATAAATATAATTTCAGCACTAGAAGATAACAAATTTTGTGAAATATTGACATGAATTTTAATGACATTTATAAGGGACAAACATATTACAGTTTCTTATATACATGCTTCTCATTTACATATTAAGATTCTATTATTGCAATTTTCATGCTCATAACTGCATCATGAAAAGATTTAATAAATTTCAAAAAAATTAATAAATTTCACTTTCATGCTCACATCTTAAAAAGACGCAATAAAATTCAGGGTGTTATAATATGATCTCGTTATTACAACTTTCATGCTCACATCTTAAAAAGATGCAATAAATTTCATAGTGTAATAAATGTAAATAAAAAACTAGCATATATATAGTGTTTTTTTACTTTTATATTTTAATTAGAACTTTTCTTGGCATAATAAAAAAATTAATTCCTTTTTTTCAATGTGTTAAAATTGTTCAACAAGCTAAGAAATTTGCCAAAACTTTTTTTTAAATCATTTTTTTTCTTTTGAGCTCTTCAAAGATGGAAAGTAATTTAGAATATTTTAGAGTATTTTCAAATGTACCAAATCAATTTATAAAAATAGATAAATAAATAAATCTTTTCTAAAATATGAATTTTTAACAAAATATTAAAGAGAAGAAAAAAAAGTAACAACATCTTTCATACTTAACTTAAATGCCTAAAATGTGTAAAAGGCATTTCAAAATTAGATGTTGGTTTATATATTTTAGAGAAACTTGACCTTAAATTTGCTGTTCTAAAAAGAAAAAGTAAGTATGAAAAGGCAGTAAGCACTTCTTTAATATGAGACTGTTTCACAAAGGAAGAATGAATTGGATGAAAACAACTATGCATTTTGGGTCTGAATACAAACTAAACCATATAAAGATATTGATGAAGGGTTGATTGTATAATAATTGCGGTAAAATAAAATCCTGAAGAAAAATAATATACCTGTAATATAAAATTCATGCACTATGATGCACAGAGTAAAATTAGTTTTCTATACATTCATTCTCAAAAAAAAAACGAAATACGCTGACATAATATATGTATATGTTTATGTATGTATACATATGTATTAGGGTGATCCGTATAATATTGACTAAAAAATATTATTTCTAGTTAAATGTTTTCAGTTTTTTATGTTCCTATATTATATTTTATGTTCCACTGCAGCAAAAGTGACAAATATTTTTAGGATACTATTATCTTTAATACTACCTCAAAGCACTTGAAGTTTAAATGGAATATAATTTTAGAGGCGTATTCAATGCTCAGTAATGCAAACCTAATTTATTATTCACAAAAACTAGACCATAAAAGTCAGATGCCCAAGCAGAGTCTATGAAACATCTTTATATGCAACATTAAATGCAAACAACAAAATACATATATAAATATCATATGCATTGAAGTAAATATCCTATGTAGTGAAGTTAATAGCTTATGTAGTGAAATTAATATTTTTTTAAAGTGCACTTACTATCAGGGTAGTATGTGTACAAACCCACCTGTTTTGGTACTGCTGGAGGGGTATGGGCGCCCAAAGAAAAACACTCAAAAAATATTCAGTATTTATTGCTTTTAAAAATTAAAAAAATTAAAAGTTCTTTACTCATTCATCAAAAATTAGAAAAATTAAAAATTCTTTACGAAAAATGGGAAATAAATTGCTTTACTTTTGTCAAATTTTCCATAAGTATACCTTGAAGAAATATATGGCTTGTTAAATAATTGTTTTATTTCTTTAATTTTTGCGATCTCTTTTTTACTGCCAAAGGAATAAAAATTAGAAAAAAAGTTTTGGTTCAAATGCATTAGCAAATAATTAACTTTCTTTTTATTCTTGCTTCATTTTTGTTATTCATTTTTTTTTCATTCATAGTTCATTTTTTCTTCAGCAAAATAAAAAATTATTTTTTCTTCAGAAAAAATGAAACAAAAAACTTTTTCAGAAATTTTTTTGGTTTTCATATTTTTTACAACTTTAATAATAATAAAAAAAACGATTAAATTATTTAACATTAAATAAAAGTCAAGATTTCAAAACTTCAAAAAAATCCATTTCAAATGTAACTTATTTAATGTACACAATTTAAACTTATTAAAAGTATGCAGGCACCTTAAAAGTATGCAGGCACCTTAAAGCACTGTGAAAATTACTAACCTTTAGTAAAAACCTCAAGTTAATTGAACAGAATCGCATATATTTAAATCAAAATGAAAATTAAATAATAGTAACTATGCTTTCTAAAGGCTATTTATAATATATAGCGTTTAATAAGTATTGCATGGTTTTTTGTCTAAACACAGTTCTTGACAACCTCAAGCATGTAATCATTTTTGCAAAGAATGCATGGGGCATAAACTAAGACAAAAAGGATGTCTTCTGAGAGATAACAGAACTTGATTTCAAGAAATTCTTGAAATCACATTGATTTTCCTGGAACATTGTTCTCCAAAGGGCGATGGATGTCAAAGTTAATTTACACTTAAAATATTTACAAAAAATGTAAAGACCTAATTGAGAATGAAATATAAAACACTTTATTAACTGATTAATCCAGACAATACAGTTGTTATATGCTCAAGCAAATCTATGAAATATTTTCTCATGCAACATCAAATGCACCTTCAGTCCTATATAACCTTACACTCATACATCCATTTTACAATATACCTGTATACCTAAGTAACCTTAATCTCATTTGGCCTTACCCAAATATACCTTTACAGCCATATTTCACTGTTACCTAGAATTCCACAGATTCTTGCACCAAAAAACTTTGTCACAGTGTATGATCAACATAAATAATTGGTAGATCATATATGTACATAGTAGTACATCGTTCTATTTATTAAAAAAAATAGAAGTTCTGAGAATATTTTTTAGTATTATTATTTGTAGCAAGTGAGTAATGTATTATTTTTAGTATTATTATTTGTAGCAGGTGAGTAGCAAATGTTATTATTGCAATATCAAATACAATATTACTGTTTTAACACCATTTTAAATTAACAAAGCATGAAAGCATTATTAGCTTAGTGTTAAGTCTGTTTATCACAATAATTAATGTGAAAGCTTGAATCTTATCTCTAAATGCATGCAATGCTCCAAGCAACAATCTGAACTTTATTCAAGATATTGCAAACTACCATTTAACTAATGATGGTGAATTAACTACTAGAACCACCAACTGGAGGAAATAAAAATCATTCAGCCAGATATAAAGGAGAAGAAAACCTAAGCATAACAAGTCAATTTTTTTATTAGGCCTGCATCCAACCTGTTCTTTGCAGTTTTTTAATTTGATAATTCATTTTTGTCAGAAGATAAGAGACCAGAAAACTTGGAATAAAATGCTAGGTTGAACTGGAACATACAGATATCATTGGACTACTATGAAAAAGTAAACTGAAACATCTTGCAGTAACTTTGGTTCTGAAAAGTCATTCTGTGTAGTAAACATCTACATAGTTAATTAAACATATATTTAATAAACTATGTAGACATTTACTTACATATAGAGTATGTTCATTTTTGACTCAAAAGTAACTAAAATTATGAAACTTCTTGGTCTTTACAGCATTTCTAAAATATATGCTTATCTAAATATTTTTGCGGCTTATTTCGCAAGCTAAAGAAACACATATATACAGTCCCAATTATTTAAACTAAATACTTTTAAATAACTATTGAAAATATTTTTTAATAATTATTTAAATTGTCTCAGTTAAAAAATATATCTTGTTTAATTTTTTATTAATTAATAATATAATGAATATTTAATAAGTATAATTATTAATATATTTTAGCCTAGAAAATTAGAAATACCTATAGAAGCACTATCTTTCTCAGTGTAACGAAGAAGCAAAGAGTTACCCAATCTCGACCCCAAGAAAACAAATCCATGTTCAATCCAACAAACCTAAATAGTCTTTCAAAGTTTTATATTACATTTAACATTTTTAAAAAATATTTAGTGTGAAAATTTTTGAGATATTAATATGACATGAAATCATGTGATTTAACTGATGTATAACAACTTTTTAAAAATATTTTAGATAAAATTATTTACATTTTTGAAACATAACAAATTTTAAAATATATTAAATAACACAAAGTTTCTGAATTAAATTTAATATTACCTAAAATTACGAAAAAAAATTCAATAAGTAATTATAGTTCAAATAATATCTTTTAATGAACATGTTTAATTTTGAAAATAATGTATAAAAAAAATAATAAACTTACACAGGATGCTAGAACACTACCAGCTGCTTTCTCAAAATGGAAACTTCGAACCGTTCTTAACCCATCAGATAACAATGACAGTACATAACTAAATTAAGAATAAACTAAAAACTAAGAATATTGTAAACTTACAATATTAATATTGTGGGGAATTAAAACTATAAACAGAAATTTTGTTTGATAGATTGTGAGCTTTGTTATGTATGAATTTTAATTTGTTTTTATTTTAAGCAAGCTTTTATAACACTGAAATACCGCAAAGAGTCTGTAATTTTGAGTAAAATTAATTATAAATTAAAAATAAATTTTGAATTTTTTAAATAAGTTTTGAGGAAACGTTACAGCTTTAAAATCAAAACTAAAAATTAAAAAATCATTTTAAAATTTATTTAAGCAAGTAAAACATTTAATTTGCTAATGACAATACATTTACAAAATGGATAAACACAATTATAACAAAGAAAAGAAAATCAATATCTTGGAAATTACAAAAAAACAGTTCTTACATTTCACCACCTTTTAAAGAAAGTATAAATTGGTCAGTTGCTATTGCATCACAACTTGATTCTGCAAGAGTTATTACAACATCTTCCTGAATTTCTAAAAAAAACATATACAACATCTTCCAACATATACAACTAAAAAAACTATGATATCAAGTAGTAGCATTTAACAGTAATTAATTGTTGTAAAAAACATAAGTGAAATAATTTTTTTAATAAAAAAAAATAAAACATAGTTAAATCAATGTTTTTCTACTTTCTTATTTTAAATAAATTTTAATTTAAATTTATTGTACTGTATTTAAATTAAATTTATTAAATACTATTAAATTCAAATTTACTTTTAAAAAAATTTTTTTTTTAATTTAAAACACTCCTTTTTACAATTTTTTTTTTTTTTTTTATTTACCAAACTATCTTAAAGAAAAGAAATTCTTTTTACAAAACTAATTTAAGTTGCTCTTATGTTTGTTTTACATTCAACTATTTTGTTTATTTATTTTTAGTATCACATCAATAACTTTTTTTATCACATTACCAAAGTACTAATATACAAAAGTGCTTAATGCTTATAATTGTATATATATATATATATATATATATATATATATATATATATATATATATATATATATATATATATATATATATATATATATATATATATATATATATATATATACATATTTATATATATATATATATATATATATATATATATATATATACATATAAATATATATATATATACATATATATATATATATATATAAATATATATATATATAAATATATATATATATATATATATATATATAAATATATATATATATATATATATATGTATATATATATATATTCATATATATATCAGGCATGCTGGAAGAGCCTAAGGGCAGGGGTAGCAAACCAATACACAAGGGCACTTGCCAAAATATCAACTATGTATAATATCTAATATTAAACGCGATTTGTAATAGTAAAATTAGTAGACAAAGTGACATTTTTTGTGTATTTTTTCGATAACGGTAGGGTTAATTTAAAGTTTTATTTATATTAGATATTTTAATATGTATAATATATAATATGTATAATATATATATATATAATAAAACTTTTAATTAACCCTACCGTTATCAAAAAAATACACAAAAAATGTCACTTTGTTTACTACTTTTTCTATTACGAATTGCGTATACAGTGTAATTAACACTAAATGTTATAACATGCTATTAAACAGTCTACTAAATAAATCAACTGTTTCTTAGCTACTTTCTAGATGTCAAGAGTATATTTCATCCTTTGCCATTCTTAGCTTTACAAGGTGCTAGAATGATTTCAAGTGTATTTGCCAAAATAATTTATACTACTGTCATTCATTCAACAAACTGTTTAGCAATTTTTTTAATGTTAACTTTGTCGATTTGTTTTTTGTGTATCTGAGCAAACATGATGTTGTTCAAGTGATTGCCTCCAGTTCAGGCCTTCTCTTAAGAGGCGTGCTATTGCACGCTTTATATGACCACGCATAAAGTTCTTTCTTTTAACAACTTGACCATGGCTCTTTGTAAGTTTTGATAATTTGCGCGTTTAAAAAGAACTATATGCGTGGTCATATAAGGTGTGCGATCGCACGCCTCTTACGAGAAGGCCTGCAGTTTGTTACCTAACCCATCTTTTTACTCTCCTCATAGCACTAAAGCTTCTTTCACATGATGATGCCGATAGAGGCATGGTGTAGTAAAGCTTCATTAATTTGTTTGTTTGTTTATTGGCAACTTTTGCAGCTGGCATGGCATTGAAAATATCTGCAATTGTTGCCACTCTAGAGACACTCTGTATTTTGATTGATCCAATAGAATGGTACAGGTTAATAATTGTTGGTAGCCCCTTCAACTCAACTTTTAGTTTCAAGATATCAACATCATTAAAAAATGGTTTTCCAAATAAAAATGTCGGGGAATCTTGTTTACTTGCCAATAAAATCAAAATATCTTCTATATTTTTTACAGCTGTTGATCCATCCTGTTCAAATCTCTCACTCAAACTGTTTTGAATAGCATCATTTTTTTTTGTCGCCTTTAAAACTCTATTAAATTCCTTATCTAGTCTAAGTTCTGCAAATGTCTGAGATGCATTTCGAATGCAAAATGCTTCGATAGATTTTCTAGAATATCAAAAAATTTAAAAGTGCTTTGCAGTTCAAAAAGTGTTTTTACTGATGAAAGCTGAGATAATAAACCTTTAATTTGTGCTCTTGTTTCTGCAGCATTAGTCCTGTCACTCTGAAGACTGTTTGATATTGTATGGAGTTCTGCAATCTTCTCCAACACCACTTGTACTGCTTTTGTCGTGTCAATGACAACGTCAATGTCCATCGAGTCATTAACATTGTCATTGACTCGATGGACATGCAACTGCAGTCTATGTCATTGACATGGACTTCAGTCGCAATATTCTGTATTCATCTGATTTAGACTCATGAAATATATCCTTTTGGATTTGTTAGAAAAAAGCAACACACTTTGGATATGCCCCAACAATTGCATAAATTAGCTGGAAAATGCTGAGAGAATCTGACAGTAGTGATGATATTGCATACTTATCCTTAACAATCAGCTTGCTGCAATGTACCATGCAATGAAAATATTGTACTTGCTCTCCAAAAATACTTTTCAGTTTTGCTGACAAGCATTTCATAAGTGATGTACCATCAAAGCTAATTTGCACTTCAAAAGGATATCTTCAATATATGTCACCAAGGCATTTGAAGAAAGACCGTTGACGCATTCATATACTCCAATAAAATATCAATTCACTTTATAGTTGTCACTGCAAGTTCTTATATTAAACAACATTTGTTCCTTCTTAGTACTATCTGAGAATTCATCTGCAAGTACTGAATAGATTTGTTCATCATTGATCAGTTCAACAATTTCATGCTTCTAAGGTGAGAAGTTATTCTTGCTCTTCCAAGATGTCATGAGATAATTCATTGTCAATTTTACTCTTGTCCAAATTAAATCAATAAATATTGTATTCTTCATCATTATCATCTCTTATAGCTACACTCTGTAGAAGCAATGTTTTCAATGTTCCGAAAAAAGCTAGCAACCCTTTTCTTCAAACTGCTTGCTTCTCCATGTACATTTGGTCAGTTTGTGCATTAATTGTTGTAAACTTTATATTTTCTTTCTCAATATTTAGGGCATTTATATATTTTCTTTCTCAATATTTATTCAACAAAGTAGTAATTTTGATCTGATAAGGTAATGCTGCTGCTTTTGATAATGCCTTAGTTTTTTTCTTTTATAGTCTTTTGGTCTTCGGCATGACTGTTCAGTGGTTAAAACCGTTACATTTAAGTTAAGATATATAAAGAGTTATAAGAGCAAAAAAAGATAGCAAGATAAATAAAATTTAATATAACATATTTTGTTTAATTTCAAATTGATTTTTGGAAACATATTAGTTCTAAATGTGATTGCAATTTACAAAAAATTCTTTAACGTTGGTTTATTTATCTGAGTTGTTTCTGAGTTGTGCCACTGCTGCTAATTAATTCTGGGCCTTTTCTTTTCTCTTTAATAAAATATTTTTTAAAGTTTCATTTAAATTAACTTTAAACTGTTTCTGTTTAAAAATTTTGAAAAAAAAAAATCTATTACCATCGATCCCATCTATTACCAGTTCCAGTTGGTAGATATTGATAATAAAATATTGATAATGAAATGTTGGATAATGAAATGCTTTAAAAGCACAAAAATTTACCATACCTATTATCTTAAAAGGACACATTCATGCTACCCTTGCCACCCCAGCCAAAAGGGCAGGATTAGCAGTTGCTACCCTAGGCTAGCCCTTTCCGGCATGCCTGATATATATATTGTTATATATGAGTTAATAACATGAAATGATATATATATATATATATATATATATATATATATATATATATATATATATATAATATATATATATTTATATATTTATATTTATATTTATATTTATATTTATATATATATATATATATATATATATATATATATATATATATATATATATATATATATATATATATATATATATATATATATATATATATATATATATATATATATATAAATTAACAAGAACAATTCTGATCTATATCAAGATGGTGGTTTCTTTTTTAAATAAAAAAGGACAAGAAAAATAATTAAAGAAAAAATATTATTTTCTGCAAATTTTTAAAATTCATACCTTAATATATTTATAAATTGCACTTCGAAAATCACAAATTATCTTTATGTAACTATAAATCTTTCAGACAATGCATTCCAATCATATATTAAACTGGATAATAATTTTAACTAAATACATGCTAATTTCAACCACCCATCTAACATAAAAAGTCTGTCATGCTCGGTGTAGTTAAGGCACTTTTAAAATAATAGAGCGTCTGTATGATATTTTGTTGACTGCGACATTTTTCCGTTAAATGGTCTTGTCTGTGAATTATGAAAAGACAAAAAAACTTAAAATGATAAATTTTGCGGTATCATAAAATATAAATGTTTGTAGCGAAAAAATCCAGACCGATGATTCTTTTTTTTTTTTTTAAATCATCTTAAAATCACAATCGCTTGTCCAAATTTAAATAAGATTTTATATTAACAAGTTTTTTAGGTGAAATCAACATTATAATTTTAACAATATGATCTGTTCTGATCGTTTATTGGCAATTTTCCATAATTATAAGCTCTTTTTTGGTCGGAATTCCAGTATTTTTTGTGATAATTGATAGAAATATTGTGTTTTGACAACTATATATAGTTAATATACGTCAGAACCGATTAGAACTAGAATCAGTAGTAAATTAAAAAACTTTTTCAAAAGATTTTAACTAAATTCATATTAATGCCGATGAGCGGAATTGATCTAAAGACTCCAAAATAGTGTTCTTTAGATACACTATTACAGGTAGTAAAAAGGTTTTGAAAATTATATAAAAAAAAGAAAAGTTTCTTTAAATATTATAAAAACTTAGAGCAAAAAAAAATTGTAGCATTTAAAGATCTTGTTTGGACATAATATGCTGACAAAATCATGCTAATTCCAAATAAAAGTATTTGAATAATTTGTAAATCGCCTTAACTACACCGAGTGACCCATCGAGTCAAAACACATTCATTTAATCTACCACATTTTTAAGTAAAATTATTTTTAAGAATTCCATTCACGCTTGAGATGCATTATCAAAAAATGGATACAAGTGAATCCAATCTGTATATACAAACCAAAAAAAATTAAATCAAGAAAAACGGTTGAAGTGCCAAGAAAAAAACTAAGCAAATAAAGGTTTTTAAAGCATGGAGGGATAGATACAATAAAAGAAGGAGACTTTGCTGAATAACAAGTTAAGCGATAATGAGTTTTGGTTTGTAGAATTAGAGATGATAGTTCCATTGAGCAGCAACTATGATAGTATTTGTATAAAAGAGATGCAACTTTACAACGATGGTACAGAGAAAACCCAGGTGAAAAAACAGGTGAGTAGGAAATACAGATTGTAAAATACAAATTCAGCAAATACAGATTGTAAAAACAAAAAAATACCAAAAGGTTAACATTAAAAAAAAAATAGCAATAATAATAATTTTACATAAAAACCAATCGAAAAATAAAAATAAGAATTTTATCTTTTATATATAATTGTTATACTGGGTACAATATTATAAATATAGTCAGGAAACTATGTTAAAAGTATTTTTTTTTTTTCTTTTTCATAATACAAAATGTTTAGAAAATATATGAAATTCACCAAGATAAAATATTATAAACATAGCAAAAAACACAAAATGACATTAGAAAACATACTTAAAGGAAACATTGTACTTCCTTCAGTTATACTGTTAAGAGATACACCATATGGAGGAATGCTTTGGTTTAGATATATAAGAGAATTTGATGCAAACACCAACACGCCACCTTAAAATAAAATTAAAATGAAACTAATTTTATAATAACATAAAAATATACTAATAAAAATATTCTAACTCGATGTATAGAAAAAATTTCAATATAATATCAAAACAGTATTATCAAAAATATTATTGAAATTGAACATAGAGTGCAAGATAATCACCTACCAATTGGTTTTTCTATTGGTCGTAACATATGGCAATCAAATGGTAAGTTAGTAACTGACCAAATAACTGGATGCACTTTTTCTGTCATGTTCAACGAAATAGCCGAAACACAAAATGTATCTTGGCGAACAGCAACTCTCCTGTAAAAACAATTGTAGAAATTTAGCCTAAATTTATATCATGGAAATGAATGAGTTTATAACATGAAATGATCTAAATGTTTGGATTGCACTATGTAAACTCTGCATTTTAGAAAAAAATTGGTACAAAAAATAGAATATAAGAATAATACTGTGAACAATTGATAAAGATATTAACAGAAAAACTGCTAATGATGATATAAATTGCAATTGTTTGTGTTTATTATCTTCACCAAGTATATGGTTGAGTCTTTTTTTTTACTGTATTCACCTACCCAAGGCTACAGGGGCAAGTCAAAGAGTTTACTCAATTTTTAAATTATTGTTGCAACTCTTTTTTAAACCTTTAACTATGAAACTTCAGCCACCATGGTTATTACATCATCTGTGTTGATGTAATAACCATGGTGTACAGAGAAACAAGTTGAGAAAAGCATCAAAAATATTGTGGACCTCGATCTCATAGCGGATTTCAATAATGATCCTTTTATTCAAAAATAAAAGCTCTAATCACATTTTTTCAAATCATAATTTGAACTTAATGTCATTTGTTGTTTTAAATGACATTCATTGTCAAAAATAAATTACATCAAATTTTCTAGAAAGTAAAAATTAGAAGTAAAAACAACTTTTAGCTGAAAACATACCCAGTAGAAGTTTGCACAGGTTCAAAAAGAAACATCAATGTTGGTTGATGGTACCCATGAAGAAATTGCAACTCAGTTATGTTCAACAGAGGCTGCTCAAGTGAATGAAGATCAATCATATAACTTGGAAGTACAGATTTAATATGCTCTCTATATAAAATATATACTTTAATTAAACATAATATTATCAAATAATACATTTAACTATAAAAAAAAAATTATCATTAAACAAGAAAATTGAAAAAGTGTAACAACTAGACTGCAACAATAGTTTAAAAAAATATTATACCCATCACTTAGTTCTTCAGACTCGTCAAGTTTTATATCATGTTTAAAAGGAAGAACAACTAAATGTCGATTATAAATAAGCATGCATGCACATCTTTGCTCAGGATCAACTCTTACTAATGGTAAATAAATATTATGAGAAAGACCACCCTGTAAAAAAAAATTTTAATATTAGAACACCAATAAAAATGACAAAAAAACCATCAGAAAGGCAAACACTATAAAAACAGGCAATTAAAAATTTAGTTACCTTAAACTCATCATTTTCAAAGTAATGCATTGAATCTGTTTTTAAGTCATGGCTTAAAGGATCAAATTCTACTATTGAAAGCTATAAAACAAGTTTAAATTTTTTTTAACATTTTTTGGTTGACAAACATATATTTCATACATTTTTTATGTTAATATTGTGCATTGAAGAACATTAAAAATGTATTTAACATATATGAATAAAATAACAAAAACTGAAGCATTGAGAAATTGAGCGTGTTTTTATTGCAAAAATAAATTGAAATCATGGAAAATCATGAGAACTGTTTATAACATAATTAAATGTTACGAGTCTGTAATAAGCATTATGAATAAAAAATGTTAAGCTTGCCCTGGTAAAATATTCACGAAGCTAAAGTCATTTTAAAGCGTTTAACCAAGATTGAATCAGAAGTTTCCCAAATAAAAATGTTCTGGTTGCTACCAATCTTATATCCAACTTGGTTGCTACCAAGTTGGATATAATTACTTATATTACTAAGCAGCAAAACAATCTTTTGATTGAAGACATAAACCATTCCTGATCAAACAAAAGCTAAAATGAAAGCAGCTAGAGCAAAAAATGCAACACTTTTTGAAAAAAAAAATTGCAAAAAAAGATTGTAAATGATTAATAAAAGTTAAGTTACATAAATGCCTTTTTGAACTTGATAAAATAGGGCAATACAATACAGGGCTTCATAGAAGATGTTAGAAAAATAATTATTTTATAAAACATAATATTATCGAAATAAGAAAAAAAAATGCATTTACACACTTTACTGTATTAAATTTTTTTAGAAAAAACAAGTAACATTCTTTTGAGGTGCAAACTTAGTGAACACCCATTATATGTTTACACATAATTATTTGTATAACCTTACATATAAGATGTTTATATAAAAATATAAATATATGTATAACATTACATACAAGATGAATATATATACACATAAATATATGTATAACATTAAACCAAACATTGTTGACGACACTATATTATACTACAGGGACATTAGTACTGAAATAATCTTAGAGGTTTCAATGAGCTATCCATAAAACTGTTATGAAATCGTGTCAACTGCAAACAATTTTTGAAAAAACTTCAACATTATTTGAAATACATTTTATAGACCAATCCGTATGTTTAATTATCATTTAACTCATGTTAAAGAAGCACAAAATGTTGTGTTTAGGTATGAATTGATCTGAAAGTCTCTTTTCTTATCAATTGGCCCATCACAACAGCAACAATAGAATTCTCCACCATGACTCTACATTTGAGAAAAAAATTTTAGGTATTGCTTATTTAAAATTGCATCCTAACTCAAGATTCAAAATAGGGAAGTTACAAATAATCCTAAAATTATTTTGATGTGATTGAGGTCAGAGGCTAACTTCAATTGATTGAACTGAAAAAGGTTTTAGATTGTGATGATTTTATTTTACATTTCAAACTATGTCTAATATGACCACTTTATCAACACTAAAGTTCTGAATCCTTGATTTAAAACATGATGCTAATAAATCAAACATGTTCATGACATTCTTTAGAATGTCATGAACATTGCCATAGATCCTGTTTATAATAGTTTTGATAAATTTGAGTATTATAGTTTTGACTAAAATAGTTTTGATAAATTCTGTCTATAATAGTTTTGATAATTTATTATAGTCCTGTCAATAATATTTTTGAAAAATTCTAATTTTCCTGATAGTATTCATTAAACTGATAATGAAAAACAGTTCAGTGAATATTTAAATGTTCACACAGCTTTTTGTGTTTATTCAGAATATCAGCAGTTTCTCAAATTTAATTAATTTACAAATTTATATACTTGCATATGACAACATAAAATATGGTTTGAAAAGAAAAAAAAAAATTTATTCCATGTATAAACTTTTTTGCTGCTAATTTTAAACAGCATTTGTTGTTATCGTGACAATTTCTTAAGGCAAACAATTTCTGCGTGTATTACACAAATTTAAATTTCCAGGATTATGTTTTTAAGCTGCAGAATTATAAGATCCATTTCAAAAAGTTTCTGTTGGTCATTTTTAAGGTCTTGTTTTGACTTTATTTGTATTAAGTGACTGTGTTTCCTAATTTGAATTGTTTTAACAAACAAAATTAATTTGTTAACTATAACTTTACTATGTAAAAACTTTGTTCTTTAAACTTTCTTATATAAATGATAAAAAAATGTAGTAAAAATTATAAGCAATAAAACAAATAAAAAAAGATTAGAAAATTTCACAACATTTAAATAATTATGCTAAAAAATTTAAAAAAAAAAGAAAGAAAAGAACACAAATTTTGAAAAAAATCTTGAAAAACTGTTTGTTGTCTTAATGAATGTTCTTTATACCTAGAAATTGCCACACAACCAAAACTCTCAGACAGTATATGTTCTGAAACCTCCACAGATAGCAATTTTAATATCATCACCACATTTAAATATAATTATCATTATTTCAATAGCATCACTGGTGTTAAATTTGCAAATAATGATATATATGATTTAGGCACAAAGGAACTTTTGTTTATATATAAACATTGTAGCATTAAAGTAAAGAACTAGAGAAGAGAGTAAATTTTCATAAGGCTCCTCATGTAATATCGTAGATTTTGCTGATACTGTCTATCTCAGATCTTGTACATATAAAAATATTCTGAAAAATTCTGATTATTATCTGATACTGTGCTTAAGAAAAGACTCAATTTCATCCATTATAAAATAATAACAAATTAACTGAAATTGAAAAGAAAAAAGGAAAAAAATATATAAGTACAAAATATCAATTATATTATAAGCACAAAAAAAAGTAGATTAAATTAAACTAAACCTTTGCATGTTTAAATGCCAACAGCAAAGAATCACGAACATTACTTCCAAGTCGAACAACTTGCATGTTGATTATGTTTCCAAACAATGTAAAGGAAGCTAGAAGTTCTAATCTTCTTTTCCCAACGCTATCTACTGATCAAAATTTAATATAAAGAATAATTAAAATTCAAAAAACTCTTTTAATAAATAAAAATGTCTCAGCTATGCAATTTGTAATCCTATAACACACCTATTTTAGAACTTTGGTCTCCGTCAGAAACCTGAATAAAAAAAATAGGTTCAATAAATAAAATTTCTATAAAACATTTTTTTTAGTTATTTGTACTATGTACAAAATGTCATTCATAGCAAGTACATAACACAACAAAAAATAATAAAATAAAAGTGAAAAAACCATTTAACTATATCAAATATTTCAAATAAAAAAATAATTATTGTTATTTAAAAATAAAATAAACAACATATTAAACAACAATTATATATAAAAATATTAAACAAAACTATATTAAAAAACAATTATAACTATAGTATAATTGTTTATACTTTATAAACAGCAGATTAGATAGAAAAGTGACTAATAGACAAGAAAGAAGTTATTATACTATGATTATAGAAGATGAAGAGCTATGTACTGTTCGTTTTAAAAAAAAAAACAAGAACAGGTCTTTACAAGCAATTAATAAATAGGAAGTAACCAAGTTAATTCTAAATGTGCTGCTTATTAGACATCTAATACAAAAATGGTGGAAGTTTCACAAATAATCACAAATAATTACATAAAAAATAAAATAATAACATAAAAAAATTTATTTCATATATTTCAGATAAAAATTTTCAAGTTAATACCTATATAATTACATGCCATTTCATGGTTTCCAAGAAAGATCATTAACTATACTTATTTCCATGTAATAATATATTTCAGATTCCTTTCCTTAAGAACTAGTAGAAATTCGTGTAATAGTTAATGAAGAGAAAATTGAAGCAGGGGTTTGGAATGGCTGATACTAAATTTAAATACTTATAATCAGACTATTCTTTTTATATAATGGTTCTCTTTTATAGATTGAGTCAATAAAAAATAATAAATGCAAAAATTTTAGTTAAAAATACACATGGGTTCCAGAGATATTGTCAGTTAGAATAATGCTGACTCAGCATTTTAGTGATTATCTGAAGCCACTACAAAGCAACTTTGACATATAGTATCTTTATAATGGCTTGGTGAAATTTCCAAAAATTTGGTATATCATTAGGTTCTTATTTGATGAATCCAAAAATAGCACCCTCAAGACTCGATTTCTTTAATGTTATTAGCATATAACATTAAATAAAATTCTTTAACAACAGAAATAAAAAGCCCCATTTCAAACAACAAAGTGAACAATCACCATGATCTAGACATTTTAATATATCAAATAAAAAAAGCCACCTAAGCCAGTCTTATTGCCACCTTGTGGCGAGGTGCAAATGTTACCACTCGCACCAAAATCATGGACACATGACACAAGGACACAAGGGCGATTCAGCTTCTGTAGACAAAAAATTAAAGTCAACCAATTACAGAGGCACTTTGATATTTATGTTCTTTTTGAGCTATAAAACAAAACTATAAAATATTATTCAAATCAGAAAATATTTAGAACAGCCTCATGGGACCTAAAGTTTGCAGGTTTTTCTTTTTCGGGCTTGATTCTTAAAATATTTACTTTCGCACTTAATTTTTAAAATATTATTACCTGCAAAGAATTTGTATTTAGTATTTATTTACTTACTTTTAGTTACCAAAGATCATAGATTACAAGTAAAAGCAAAACAAACAAAATAGTAAAATCTTGACAGCAGACAGCAGACATTTGTTAAAACAAATTTAAAATAATTAAAATAATGCAAGACATTTTTTATTTACTTACTTATAGTTACCAAAGATTAGATTATAGAACTAATATAAACCGAGTTGTGGTTGGCAGACAGCAATAATGGCTGAAACAAGATCAAAAACTTACATTTATTTTATTGGGGAACCAGAACCACATTTTAATGGCAGAGTTTTGCGCACAAGTTTGGAAGTTTTAAGAATATATATTTTTTCGATCATAAAAAGAACAGTCAAACTCTAAAAGATGCCATAAAAACTCTAGTACAGCAGCTGTGTGAGATCTGGGCCAAAGCTAGAATACCAACTGCTGAACATAGAAGCATTGTTCGTAAAACTGAAGCTTTATTGGAAAGATTTATTTCAAAGAACAAGAGTTGTGGTGGGCCAGCACAGCAGGTAAAAAAAGAAGATTTTTTGAACTCAGTAAATTGTCTTTTTGATATTGCTCACCACGATGCATTGAAGCTGATAAAAATAGAAGATCAAACATTTCTTGCAGACCAACATTCAGAAAGAAAATATGCCATGGGAGGTGTAGATAGAATTTCAAAAAAAGAAGAAAGTAAAGAATCAAGAATGATTCTTTACTTTCTTCTTAAAAAATCTTAACTAAAAGGAATGCTTAATTTTAGGAGATTTTCCTGAAAATTATCAATATGTTGTTCAGAATGAGGTTTAAAGTTATCACTGGAGCAAAAATCAATCTTCACTTTTTACAATTGTACTTTATTTGATAAAGAAAAAGTTCTTAAACAAAAATCTTTTTGTAACTTTTCAGAAGATGTTGATCATGACAGGATTTATTAACAAGACTCAGGAAGATAAACCTAGATAAATCGAAGAAAGTCTACCTGATGTATCAAGTGTGGAATTCTTTTCCGATGGTTGTGCAGCACAATTTAAAAATTTTAAAAACTTTACCAATCTTTGTCATCACAGCAAAGACTTTAAATTAAATGCTGAATGGGTATTTTTTGCTACCAGTCATGGTAAATCTCCCTGTGATGGTATTGGTGGGACTGTTAAAAGAGTAGTATCTCAAGAAAGTCTAAAACAAATAACTACTGGACAGATTTTAGATATTAATTTCATGTACTAATTTTGTAAAGCCAAGATAAATGGAATTTGTTTTAAATTATTTTCTAAAGATGAAATCAACCAAACACAAGCACAATTAGAAAAAAGATATTTAGGTGGAAGAATAGTTCCTGACACAAGGATGTATCATCATTTTATTCCAATTGCTTCAAACACTATAAGTTATAAAAAAACAAGTATTGATACATGTATTGAAATATTTGATATCATTCCAAAAAACAAACATAATAAAGAAACTTCATTAAACATTAAAAAAGTGGATTATATTGCATACTTTTATGACGGATTTTGGTGGGTAGGGATTGCTGAAGATGTAAGTGAGCTTGATATAAATCAGATTCATGCATCCACATGGACCAGATAAAAACTTCTTTTGGAATCTTCAATGAGAAATGACAAGTATTGGGTGCTCAATTCTGAAGTTATATGCTTATTTCTACTCCCGCAACAATATCAGGTCCTACGTACATCATATCTGATTTAGATTTGGAGAATATAAGCAGTTGATTACAAAAAAAATTAAATATTTAACAATTTTGTTGTAATTTTATTTACTGATTTTGCATTTAGAATTTGTATTTCTTTTTTTCCCTTTTTTTAAATCCTTGGATGGAAGGCTGAGAAGGAGGGAAATTTAAATAAACCCCACTGTCCACCTTATTATGTATGACTATATTAGTCTTGAACAACTATATATGACTATATTAGTCTTGAACAACTAAATAATACCATAAATATATTGATTGTTAAAATGTTTTAAAAACATTCCAATAATTTTGGTTTTAAAATTTATGATTTTTAAAGTTGTGAAAAAGATCTCAGTTTTGAGTGTTTACTTTGAAATAAGAGGTATTTATTGATTTGAAATAATGAAAATTGTTTTTCAAACTTACACTAAAAAAAAATTATGTTTTTATTTGAAAATCTGGGAGATTGGGGGAGAGTTGGTCAGAGCCCCCCTGGCCCGCCCTTGGTTCATGACTATAAATGTCCTAATCTAGTCAATAAATAACAATATTTAATTTTTTATTCAAAAAAATGAAAAAAAATTGAATTGCTCTCAATACAAAATTTAAATTTATCTAAAAAGACAAAAAATTTAAACGCAAATTTTGATCAAGTATTAGAGACAATTGATGACTCTAATTTTTTTCAGTAGACCTAAGATAAAATATCGATATAGAATTAAACTTTTTACTCTGGATTTTGGGCCACATTTCTTTTTTTTACCTATTAAAATCATTAATTTACAAGTGAATAATTTTGAACAAAATTGGATAAACGAGGCATTTCCTGAGACAATCAAGTCTTGAAGGTGCTATTTTTAAATTCCTCAAGTAAAATCTAATAGGGTACCAAATATTATGAAGCCATTATGAAGATACTATATGTCAAAGTTGCTTTGTAATCGCTTTAGATAATCACTAAAATGCCAATTACTAAAAGTCAGCATTACTTCAACTGGCATATCTCTGAAATCAATGTATATTTTTAATAGGGATATAACAGAGTATAACAAAGGGTGTATCGGAGGTATAACAAAAGTTTCAAATTTACTTTATTGAAATCAAATATTATATAGCAAAACATGTATATAAAATAACATGTTATAGTTCCTTTGATAGGTTGGATTGGTTTCGATTGATTTTCTTAAGTTCTGATAATTCAAATTGGAAGTTATAACAAAGGTAAAATGTGAAAATGCAGCGCATTATATCAAACTTAAGAGTTTTGATTCAAGACAACTTTGTTTTGGTATTAAAAAGTTAAATTAAAACATTTAATAAACTTAGCTTATCTGATTTGAAAATCTTTGTTTAAACCTCCAGCTCCAATAAACCTCCGTTACACATCCGATACACCTTCGTTACATCCCTAATTTTTAACTAAAATTTTCGCAGTTATTATTTTTTTAATATGGACTGCAAGTAAGGTAAAAATAAACAAATTCTGAGATGTAAGGGTGTTGAAAATGTTTGTTTTTTTGAATGATTTCATATGGAATTACCCAATTGTCAGATGGACATAACTCAAGACTAGACTTTGATGTTTTATCTTTTCTTGACTTTAAAAAAATTTGTCTGTCACACCACCAGACACATCAGGAGTTACTTAACTTCTTTATCAAGTAAATAAAAACGTTCATAGCGAGTATTGTAAATAGAAAGACTCTATATTTTGAAATATCTATTCCTTAAACAAAGAATCTTTTATGTTAGTTCTAGTCAATTTATGGGACAAATGGACAACCAAAGAAACTATTATAAAAGCTGTTATAGAATGGTTGGTGTTACTGAAAATTCATTGAGTGTTAAATTTATCAGGGATGTACTGGAATTCCGGCCGGAATTTGTGTTTTTTAGATCAATTCGTTTCTGGTTGGAATGAAATTTTTTTTTTTTAATTTTTTTTTTTTATGACATGTGACACAGGCTGTGTAAATGAATCAAAAAATCATTATCCTACAGAGCAATGAAGAACTATAGGTAAAAAATACAAATGTAATTTTTGCAAATACATTTGCAGTACCACTATTTCTGAAAATAAAATTATATTTGTATTTTTTACCTAGGTTTACGTATAGTTCTTCATTGATCTGTAGGATAATGATTTTTTGATTTATTTGCACAGTCTGTGTCATATGTCATAAAAAGAAAGTGAAAAAAAAAAAATTAATTCCAGCCAGAAGCAAATTGATCTAAAAGACACAAATTCCGGTCGGAATTCCGGTACATCACTAAAATATATGCAAAAAGATAAATTTGAAAGAGCAGAAAACTGTATTGAAGTCCTTTAATTTCTTCACCTGATAAAAGACGTGGTTCAGCAAGTTACTGGAAATCAAAGTTCAAAAAAGCTATGGAACTGATTGATAAACTTCATGAAAACTGGAAGAAATACCAGGTTTTATAACAACCAAAAAGGTCAAGCCTAAATTATTAAAAGACATGACACCTGTTACCCAAGTACATGGTTCAATGACAGTAAACAACGTACAAACTGTAGTCAAAACCAAAACAAGAGTAGTTGAAATTAAAAGAAACAAAGAAAAAAAAGTTAAAAGAAAAAGAAGATACTGAAAGAGGAAGTTAAAAAACTTTTTATTAAATGTTTCAATGTATTAGTGGGAACATAAAATGTAAAGCTTTCGGCTTGAAGCAGTGTCCAACCTATCTTAATGTTATGAAGTCTGTTTGCAGCAAAGTCAATTACAAAGTAAATGGACACAACCCAGAAATGATCTTATTGTTGCTGGAATTTTTTGGAAAGATTTTTTAAAAAGATTTCTTTTATAGTTTTAAAATACAATTTAAATTTTTATAGCCATATAACTGACCACACTGTTTTTGGGGTGCCTTAGTTTTTGGGCTGCATTCACCTGCATATTTTTTTTGATTTATAATATATAATATAATAAAACTAAATTAAAACAACTTTGCATGAGATTATCATACATTTTATAAACTACATAATAGTAAATGATAAAAGAATACCACCATATCTGCATCACATAATCTGTATACATTAAGGCGCTGTCCCCCAGCTGTTACTAAATTGACTTCTCTGCTATCAAAAAAGTAACAACGAACAGCATGATCCACAACAGTTGGTGGGTGAATTTCTTTGAAGATTGAGTGCATATTGTTATAAATTACCTAAAATTAATTTAAATATATATATATATATATATATATATATATATATATATATATATATATATATATATATATATATATATATATATATATATATATATATATATATATATATATATATATATATATATATATATATATATATATATCTATATATATATATATATATATATATATATATATATATATATATATATATATATATATATATATATATATATATATATATATGACTTTGTTACCTAAGTCCTATTTAAACTTACATTTAAATTTCATAGCATAGACAAGATTATTTACAATTAAAGTCAGAATAGAATCTTCTCTTATAAAAAATATTTCATATTTGGTAATTTTCAAATTTCTAATAAAAATCTAACATCTATTATGATAACATTTTAAAACTAGTTTTTTATTAAAATAGTTATTCTTATTATGCAGTCTAATCCTTAACCTCTGTTAATGCAGTCTTGAGTAGCAATTTTAAATTTTAAATTAAAGCGTTAAATTATATAAAAAATAACTAGTAAAAAATAAAAACATATGAGTAATAATTCTAGGATAACAAGGTAGTAGTAACATTATTTAAAAAATAGTTTGGTTTAACTATTTTTTTATTAAGCTATTTAAAAATGGAATAGTTGGCTAGAAATAAAACTTTATGTAAAATACTTTTTTTTAATACAAGCTTAACACGTATGAAACTTATTTATCGATATTCATGGTAGAGCTGAACTATCTTGAGAGCACGTGTCTCAAAACTTTTTGAAGTCGGATAAATTTAAAAGTTCATTTATCTAAATTTTTAACTCACAATAAAACAAATTAAAACACAATAAAACAAATTGATACTGAGTTATAGATTTAAATAAAAAAATCTTTTGTTCAAATTTGTTTTTGTTATTATTATTATTTAATCTACAACGGAAAAATACGTGAAGCTGGGAAAGCAACAATCCCTAGTATGACATATCTAATATAGACTGAGTTAATAATATAGAGTTATTAATCTGAAGCGAGAAACTGAAGTATGGTTTTCTTTTGGGAGTAAATTAAAAAATCTGTCAAGCTTTTTATGAAAGCGTTTATTTTTGACAATTTCTGGTGCATTTCTATTAAAAGTAAATGAGATCGGTAGGTAATGCACTCTAATCAACTGCCACACGATTACATAAAAATGTTTAGCAACTCCTGGTGTCCGAATGCGATGGGAATTACCCCAAAGATCATCAGCTGGTTCAGATTGTGCAAGTGCAGGGGCCAGTAATGGTTATGGCTGTCGACGAGTACCCGCGTACCCGCCCGTTGGTTGCTGCCCGGGTAGCATTTTCAAATGACGCGTAACCGTCATTTTAAAAAACTTTCCATTCATTTTTATACTTTTTTTAAAAGTATATGGTTTTAAAAACCAATAATCGTAATGTTTTTTGGTAGAAGATTTAAAAAAAATTTTAACTAAGGATCTTGTTGTTAAAAATTTTAATGGTTACGATTTATTTATCATCATCAGAATTTCTAAAAACATTCAATATAGCGTTTGGAAAGTTATTTGAGTTTCTGATTCAGATACCTACTTATTAGTAATTAAAGATTATTATTATCGATACTCCAGTGTACAAGGTTTTCCTTTACGCAATGTATCCAACAAAAATCTTGCAAAACTTAAAAGATGGAAGATAAAGTTATGTTACCTTATTATTAACTTATTTATACGCATATATTCAACTTCAGTACTATTAGAATACGCTTTTTTGACTGCTACGTATGTTGTCGATTATTCACTCAGTCAGCATCAGTCAGTCGATCATTCATTCAGTCAGCATTCATTTTTGGCACCCGAAACAGTGGAGACGTTATAACGTCTATATACTATAGTATTACTAAACCGTAATTTGGACTTAAGTAACCTGGACACTTAAAGTAAAACAAAATTTAGAAAAAAAACATTTCTAAATGAGTGACATCATTGAATAAAAAGTTTTTATAGACTGTTTATAAGAACAACTTTTATAAAATATATTATTTTTTTAACGAAAACTCTGGTACCCTCTTATTTGTTCGACGGGTACCCGAGCAGGCATTTTCACAGTTTTTGACTGCCCTAGTAATGGTGACTCGATCTACACGACATTGCTTATGCCGTAATAAATCTTGAAAGAATGAACAAGATTGCTCCAGCTCCGTCATTTTTTAAGTGATTAGATGCCGATACGGGATATATAAGGGAAAATTTTATGGGCAATACTCCAAATGAGGCTTTACGTAAGGACAATAAAGGACGTGGAACATTTCATGAGTCCAATATTTGAAAATATGTTTTACAATACCGAAAACAGCATATGAAATCGATTATAAACAAGAACATCAAAGTCGGTCTCTTTAATAATGTGAGCAAAGCAATTTTTACAATCATTGTTAAGTATTATTATTTTCCTTTCATCGACATCAGTTTCCTTTTATGAAAAAGGGAATTAGTGTTCGGGATCACCATAATTAAGCTGCTAGTTTTCCTAGTTCTATAGACCTAGCTGAGCTGTATATCTAAGAAGCCATGTTTCTTTCACACCAGATACTTGTAAAATCCTTAGAAGAGCAAAGATAATCTCTGGAATCACAGTGGTTACATTAGTGAAATAATTGTGAATAAGCATGATGGAAACGTAAAAACCTTAGATAAGATTCATTATTCAATTATTGCTCCTGTATTTTTCATAACAATTTTATAAAAAGTAGTGCCTCTTGCTTTGCATATTCTGTTAGGAATAGTGTTAAAGGTGTATAAGTTATTGTCAAAGGAATGTTAGACTTGATTTTCAGGCTAGTTTATTGTTAAAGAGTGAAGATGAGAGAACAAATTAATTGTGAGCTGCTATTAGCGTTGAATATTCTCACACTCTATACGCGTTTAATTAATTGTAATCTGCGGGTGTAGTATGTGATTTGGAGAACTATGAGTGTTTAGGATATAAGGGTGAGGATATAGAAAGCCTTGATTTTAAATTTCTGTAAGAATCGCTTTTGCAAAATTGCGCATTGTGAAGTTTCAAAGTGGACTTTAATCGATTGCAGATAAAATGTGTATTATAAAAAATATATATATACAATAGAGACTCATGAAAAAACCCTTATGCAGGCCTTTGATGATATCTAAAATTGAATAACTTTAATATTTCGAAATGTATTTGCAGATAATCATTGCACTTGTTGTGTTATTAATGTGTCAAATAAAATATATTAGTTTTTTGATAAGCTGCAACCAATACTTTTCAAGAAAATATATTTTTATAATGCTTAAATAAGTGAGCTTTTCATTGTATAAATTTATTTGCTTTTGAGTTTCATGTTTGCTTTCCATTGGAAACTATCACTCAAAAAATGCATCGCTAATTTTAATGAATCACTTTTTGTTAAACATTAAAACTATAGAGATGTTGAATGAAGAGGAAGTATGTTGGCGTAACTACGTAAATAAGGAATTAAGTCAGTTGCATCCAGTGAGATATCTAGAGCTGCGCAATTTAAAATGCTTTAAACAGCATGGAAAAGCTGATATAAAACTTGAAGCTGCTAAAGAGAAAAACTGTGTTGTGTGTTCTAAGAAAGAAGAAAATTTGTTTTATAGAAAAAACTTTTGTCTTGTTTGTGTGTCAGAGTTTTTTAATAAGAGTAAAATAAAAGGTTTGTAAATAAACTTATTAGTTTCAAACTGTTATTTAATGTTTGTGCAATATTTTAAATTTTGGTTTGATTATAAGCTTTTGAATAAGTTGATCCTAACCTCCTTTGTCACATAAAAAGTTGATCCTAATCTACTTCTTTTGCCACATAATAAATTGATCCAAACCTACTTTTTCTGTCGCATAAGTATTGCAGTTTGTTTCTGTTAAATTACAAAGTAAACAGAAGCATTGTAGTTTGTTGCTGTTGAAGTAAACAGATGTTTTCAACTAGTTGAATTGAATGGAATAGAAAATTAATGCCAACTAATGCATATAAATTTTTTCCTGATAAAAGAACTTGAAATTATTAGACCAGCTGAACATAAAACAACTTTTTTGTTAATTAGGATATGTAAAGTTAACCGGTGTTCGACTTACTGGGATTTTACTGTAATTTAAATTGAAATATATTACTCGATAAAAACAAAGTTAGTTTCTATGTTATTTACAATTACTATTTTTAGCGTTTTATTTAACCTATACAACACGGCGCTTACATACAAACAGGAGTAACTCTAACAACTCCCATGCAGAACCAGATTGTTTTAAAAGAAACCGAAAGCAAATTGACATGATTGATACCATAGTCAAATAATCTAAAAAACGCAAAATTCAAATAAATCAACTTCAGATAGTTGGAACGACCATAAGCAAACTGAAATAAACAAATTAGTCGATCTCATCAGAGCTGATAATAGCAAGAGCCGGAAGAAAGTTTGGTGCTTTTTTCCCGCTCGCTTCTCCTGATTTTGCTTGTAGCCCCAACAAAGCAGAACCAATAGTCATCACACTTCCAAACCGATAGTCATCACACTTCTGGCTAATAGATAACAAAAAAGCAAGTTTCAAGATTGTCTCAAGTTATTTGACCCAACTCATAACATTTCCTACCTACCGCAGTTTTCTTACCTGTTTAAAACCAAGTACTTTTCCGCAAGCTTTGCTATTCCACTCAGCATCATAATCTACCCTTTTAATGGAAGAAAATTGAAATTACTTCCATCGTAAAAAAGTTAACATCTTCAAACTACCAACCTATTTCATGTATTTATGTCTCTTGCAAGGTAATGAATAGTTTTATGCAAGGACACACCACTGGTCACTGGAAAATCCACGATGGTTACGATTATTTTATTAAAATTTCAAAGAAGACATACTTATATAGTTTTTTACTTTTTTTTTTATTTTTTTTTATTTTTTATTTTACAGAAGAAAATAACCAAAAATATTTTAAAAGTTATGTAAATTTTTGTGACATCCCCTTTGTGAAGTTTTTAAAAAGTAACAAGAAGCCGTATGTTCTTTGAATGTGGCCTTAAATATTTTGATAAGTATAATTTTTTGTTTTTTATTCTTTCCTTTTATTTAATATTATTTTAACAGTAAAAAAAGTTCCTTGTGAAATATTTTTAAGAAATTTTTGATTAAAAATTCAAAAATTATAATTAAAAAAAGTCTTTCAAGTTTTTCCTTTGCCAAAAAAAAACAAACGGTATACACCCTTCCTTTAAGCCATGATCCCGTTCCACAATTCCACATAAAATACTCTTAGAGTTTTTTATGGGTTGTCGTAATACTATTGAAAACAGCCAAACTGAGCTAATTCGAAAAGGAACTCTTCGAATTAGTTCAGTTTTACTTTTTTTTCAAATTAGTTCCTTAAAATTAATTTTCGATATTAATCCTAATAAAAGATTTCAATCAAAAATATTCGATACTAATCCGTTTTTCAATCAATGTTTTTTCAATACTATTCCTCTTTCCCTTTTTTATAAAGTGACTGTTAAATAACTAAAACTCTTACAATAATATTTACATATAACGTATATGATCATCTATTTAGAAAGTTAGGTGAAATTAAATAGCATTTCAACTTTTAGGTAAAGAATGTTGAGGTCTTTGAATGTTTTTAATTTAAACAAAAAATTGACCACTGTTTTTAAATTTTAAACGCAATTAAAATATTGCTTTTATGTAGTTCTAAAAACAACTTGCCTCACTCTATTTTAAATCATATACGCAATGGTGACGTTTATTGAAATAAGATACTGATCTAGTGACGTCAATTTTCTTATAAAAGAAGTCAAAATTTGGTTTAATGCAATAAAACAGTTTTCTATTTGGTTTATAAACGTTGACTAAATTTAACACAATGAATTCATTAATTGTAATTATTGCAGTCTTTCTTGGACATGTGTATGGAACATTGAGACCACCTGTCATAACAGTAGACTCTTTGAATCTAGAAAAGTATGCAGGAAGATGGTATGAGGTAACTTTTTTTGAATGAAATTGTTTTTGATTGTTTTAGATATTGAAAGAATTAATCTGAACCATTTGGGATTTTTAAAGCTTGCAAATGGTTTTAACTTTTCTCTCAAAATACAACTAGAAATTTTCTTTCAAAAGATTTCTAATAAACTTTTTGCTTTCTTGACTTATGTATTAAGTAACTATTATATTTAATTATTCAATTTTATCCTTCGTTTTTTATAGATGTATAATAGCCCTGTGCAGCGTTTAACATTTGAAAAAGGTTTGGTATGCACAACAGCGGATTGTAAGCATATTAGTTGTTAAAATATGAATTAAATATGCTAAAATATGTTAAATATGCTAAAATATGTTAAATAAGTTAAAATATGTAGTAAATCAGAGGAGAATAAAACGAAAAGACGGAGAAAACATAAAATGAAAAATGTTAATGATTATTTTCAATTTAATTTTTTTTTCTGAATTTTAATTTTTAAATTTGATTACGTTTTTCAGACACTATGCTATCAAATGATTCTTTAAAAGTATTTTATTCTGGTCGGATGCACACGCCTAAAGGTCCAAATGTAAATATTACTGGAACAGCAACAGTTGTAAACATGTCTATTCCTGGTGCTCTCAAAGTTACTTATCCTGATGTCACAAATATCTCTTGTTCAAACACAACCTGTGCAAATTGTAAGTAAAAAGAATTATAAATAAATGAAAATTCTTTTTAAAAAAAGCATAATCTTTAAAAATAACATAAAACTTTGTATTATTAATGTGTTGTTATTATTTATTCTATGTTGTAGTTATTATTACTGCTTTTTAGATTTAGTTGTGAAACTTGGTGGCGAAAAATTTGGAGATAAAAAATTATACGAGTACTCAATCATCACTTCCCCTCACAAAACATTAGTATGGATACTGGCACGCGATCCAAAAACTTTTAATTCAGACTTAAAAACCGAAATTACAGAGTTTTTAAAAAATAACGGCTACAATCATTTTTGGAACAAACCTAAACCAGTTTATCATGGGGAAGATTGTGTTTACGTTTGAAACTTTTATGCTTATGAACAAACATTATAATACTTGCTCTTTATGTTAATTCTCTATATTATTTCATTGAAAATATAAATCTTTTTATTTAATTTAAAAGGTCGTTGAAAATGCGTGTAAAATAATAATAGTAAAAAAAAAAGTTAATTGCGTCTAAAGATCATTTTAATACATACACAGTATCTATACTGATGGCGATACTGCAGGCGTATTCTCATCTCTCCGTTAAGCTTAACGGAGCGTTTGTCAAAAATTTTATTCAACATCTTTATGTAATGAAATGACAAAAACATTATTCAAATTTGTTTAATTAAAACTAATACTAAAATAAAACAATTTTATTTAAAAATTTATATTTTTAAAGAATTTTTTAAATTAATGTAGTTAAAAACAACTTTTTGACAAACGCTCCGTTAAGCTTAACGGAGAGACGAGAATACAGCCACCGACGCTTAATAAGAAAATTGTAATTTACACATTTGCACATGACAATGTGAAAATTGTAATTTACACATGCCAATGAAGTTATTATTATTAAATAGTTAATAATAATGTTTTGTATTTTGAAATGTTTAAAAAATAAAAAATTAATTTGCCTATTAAGTAAATAAGAGTTTTAGTTTTTGTTTTTTAAATTTAGAGGGTTTAAAATATATAAAAATATAAATAAAATACGTAAGATTTAAAAATAAAATTCAAAAGTTCAAATCACTTTAAATTTCAATTTCAACAATTTTATTCTAAATTTAAAGAAATTAAAAAATAATAATGCGAAAAAAAAGGAAATAGGAAAAAAATATGTTCATTCCATTTTATGCCCATGGTCAACTCACTCCGATAGCAAGACCTAACAAAAATATTTATAAATGTGTAGGAAAAATAACTATGAACTTTTGTTATTTTTATTATTGGATAGTCTAGGATCTTGTTAAGCTTTTTTATAAAAAAATAAAATTAAACATGTTAAACTAAAAAGTTACGCATCAAAGAAAAAAAAAAGTGAGCCATTGTGCACCGGTTTCCCTTTGCTATATTATACTTAACCTTATTAATTCTGAGTTGCACCTTAAAGGCAAGATAAAGATTTAAACCGATTTATTTTACATATTTGTCGAAACGCTGATATGCATTGCAAATTAGCTACGTTGATATTCTATGCTGAGAAATATGGCTGAGAGGGTATCAGAGTGTTCAACACTCTGTTTGAATGACTTTCAGAGTTTTCACAGACTTTTCAACCTAAAAATTCACTTTTTTGACAAATTTGATGTAGTAATAAATCCACATAAACATGTTTCAGCCAACCAGATAACTATAAACTAATTTTTGGTAGCAAAATATTTTAAGTAAAATTGGTTTGAAAACGTCTACTTGAACAAAAATTAATTCATGCTTGAAAATAAAACAATTCTGAAGTATCGATCCATAAATATTTTTTGAAGAAAGTAATTTTACCACGATGTAGCTTGAACATTTTTTTTTAACAGAATTTAGCCAATTATAATTAAAAAACTGGATTAATTGTAAGACTAATTGCAGATTATCTTTCTCATTTTGCACATTTCATGAAACACTCCCAAAACCATTAAATACAAAAAGAAAAAAAATGTTCAATAAAGCAAATTTATCCGGTTTTAAATTTATTTCACGCTTTAAATTTATTCTACATATTAATAATTATCTTTCAATTTTCAATATATTTCCTAGAATTTATTTACTTTTGACTAAATTTAATACTAGACTGAAATGAAAAGAGAAGTTCGATTAATTTTTTGTTACGCATGATGTCACAAACAAAATATCGAACTGCATAATAAATGCTATTGTGTCGTCAGTCATATGTAACCACGAAACAATAACTTGTTTTTTGTCAAGTTTGCTGCTCAATATCAAACAGTGTCCAACAGCTAATAAGTAACTTTAACGTGTTTATATTTATGTAAAAGAAACGAAACTTTTATGAGAAATAAAAATGTGTTGGTACAACATTTCGTCACATTAGAATTATAGGGTTCTATCTGCCTTTTGTGAGAACTTAACTTTCAATATTTATTTAATACATGTTTTACAGCTGTTATTCATTATAATTATAAATTATAAGTTGTTTATGTAAAAAATGATATACAGGGCCGGCGCTAGTATTTTTTGGTTTTTGAGATAGCTAATTTCCAGACATGGAGCAAACTCCAAACATATATATATTTATACTTATGTCAAATAAGGATGCTTTGCAAAAAATTGCGATAATTGGAGCTTGGAAACAACATAGCCCCAAAATTATTGCCTAGTCTGCCCCAAACGTGAGAGCAACAAGTTGATAAAATATTTTTTGTACTATTTTCAACTAGACTAATATTCATCGATAAATTTTAAGTTTTATAGTATAATTTCTTAGTGTTCAAAAATTATAACAATATAAAATTTGCAACCCCCTCAAATTGAGGGGGTTTAAACATTATATAGTCATAATTTTTGAACGCTAAAGTATTTTACTATGAAACTTAAAATTTATCGATGAATATTAGTCTAGTTAAAAATAGTACAAACAATATTTTATCAACTTGTTGCTCTCACGTTTGGGGCAGACTAGGCAAAAATTTTGGGGCTATGTTATTTCCAAGCTCCAATTATCGCAATTTTTTGCAAAGCATCCTTAATTGACATAAGTATAAATATATATATGTTTGGAGTTTGCTCCATGTCTGGAAGTTAGCTATCTCAAAAACCAATAAATACTAGCTCCGGCCCTGATAATATATAATATATAATTTTTAAGTAGTTTGTTTTTATTATTTATTATTATTTAAAACTTTGATTGTTAAATTCTTTTAACATAAAACAAGGCAGATAAAGACCTATAATTCTCATGCGACGATTTATTTAAATTAAAAGTACCGTAAAACGGGGTGAATAGAAACAGTGGGGTGAATAGAAACAAAATTTCATTTTTGTATATATAATCTATTTACTACATAACTATGAGTAAATAATGGCAACTAATAATTTTTTTAGGTTGCTACACTTTAGCCTGAAAGGGAAATAATGGTTTGCTTATTTAGCAGCATTGGTTCTTGTTTGTTTTTCATGTTGAATTTTACCGCGCAATTCTTGTTTTTTTTTATTCACTTTGAACTTTCCAGGTAAGTCGGAATACTCAGTGTTCTTGAAAGTAAATAGCTGTACAAAACATAGTTTAATTATTCATATAAAAGAGTTAGGCTAACTTTAAGCTTTAACTGTAACAATATTATTTTAATAATTATTCGAATTTTTTAGGTTAGGTTTTCAGAATTGACGGGGTGAATAGAAACATATAATTTCTAGTGTTTCTTTACACCCCGCAATAAAAAAGTAATTCTAAATCACGTTTATACTGTATAAAATACATACTGTATGCTATATATTTATGTTAGACACTTAACTGACACAGCTGTTTTATTTCAGAACCCTGTAAAATGCCAAGGAAGTACAAACACGTGGTTGGAGGTGGTTACAAAAAGCACGATCCAAAAACAATTGAAAGAGCAATTTCTGACATACAGAATGGATTAAGCCTTCGCAAGTCTGCTGAAAAACATGGTTTGCATTATAGTGTTCTTTATCGACACTTGAAAAGAGGTCCAAATTTGAAGAAACATGGTGGTCAGACAGCATTATCTCTTGAAGAAGAACAGCTGTTTGTTGATAGGCTTAAGATATGTGGCAAATGGGGTAATCCCATTGACACTACAACTCTACGACTCCTTATAAAAGACTTTTTAGACCGGAGAGGGAAAGAAGTTAAGAGGTTTAAAGATAACCTCCCCGGCCGTGACTTTGTGGAATCATTTATAAAACGTCATAAGGAACAACTGGCCGTGAGAATGTGTCAGAATATTAAACGCTCGAGGGCTGGTGTAACACCAGAAACAATTAACCACTATTTTGATGAACTGACAAATGAATTAAAGGATGTGCCTTTATCTAATATCGTTAACTACGATGAGACAAATCTAAGTGATGACCCTGGTAAGCGAAAGGTCATTATACGTAGAGGGACAAAATATCCAGAAAGAGTCATAAACTCATCAAAGTCATCTACATCTGTGATGTTTGCAGCCGCTGCTGATGGCACTATTTTACCACCTTACGTTGTGTATAAGGCTATGCACTTGTACCAGAGCTGGGCAGAAGGTGGGGCGAAAAACGCCAGGTACAATCGAACAAAGTCTGGCTGGTTCGATTCCTTTTGCTTTGAAGATTGGGTACTGACAGTTGCTCTTCCGTACCTGAAAAACAAAACGGGTCAAAAAATTCTGATTGGGGACAATTTGTCTTCCCACTTATCAATGGAATCTGTGAAGTTGTGTAAAGACAATGATATCAGTTTTATTTTACTCTCAGCTAACTCCACCCATCTCACACAACCTCTAGACGAAGCCTTTTTTCGCCCATTGAAATCAACATGGCGGCAGATTCTCGAAGAGTGGAAAAAGGGCCCAGGAAGAGCAGAAGCAACTGTTCCTAAGGACAAATTTCCCGCGTTATTGAAAAAGTTGTGTGCTTCATTGAAGGAAGAAAATGTGATCAGCGGTTTTAAGAAGTGCGGTATAGCGCCTCTAAACAGGAACAAAGTGCTGTCTATGCTTCCAAAAATCATTGATGATGAGGAAAATCAGAATCCAGAAAACATTCAAAAGAACACTGAAGCTGTTGACAGGAGTTTCCAAGAGCTCCTTCAGAGTCTGCGTCATGATCAGACTCCTTAGATAAGGCAAAAAAGGACCAAAGTAAATGTGAAACCTGGCAAAAGTATTGGTGTTGAGGACTTCGTCGTGGACGATGAGATTCTTCAAACTTCACGTTCTACTGGCCAAAACCCAGGTACCTCAGGTACTAAACAGGTTCAGCCAAAGAAAAGCCGAAAGCGTGTGGAGATATAATCAGAAGATGAAGAGGACTATTCCAATTTGTTTTCTTACCGTAGGGCACATTATATGTAACTTCTTTTGTTTATGTACTCAAATAAATCATTATGTTGAGAAATAAATTTATTTGTATTCATTTATTGACCAAAAATCCATATTTGTCTGTTTCAATTCACCCTAAATTTTTTTCAATAGAAAAACACATGAAATCGAAGTACTGATTCTATTCACCCCCATCTGCGGGGTGAATAAAAACACCATGCTTTATATATTTTTCTTTAAAATCAAATAAAATTAAAAAATTTAAATACTATAAACAAATAGGCCTAACAGAGACCTGTGTTTGGGCAAAAAATTGTTTATCTAGAACAACTACAAGTATGCACATTTTCATACCAAAGTTGAAAATTGTTTCTATTCACCCCGTTTTACGGTAATGAAGTGAATAGTGCAAAAAGTAAAAACAAGAAAATTTAGCATTGGAAATTGAAGTCATCCGTATTCCAAACAACAATATTTCAGTTGCTAGCGTCAACAAAAATATTAATAGTAACCGAATCGAATAAGTTTCACTGTCTAATGTTAATAAAAGAAATTGTGGGAATGAAATTTGCGTAATTCAAAGAAATTTCCGTCAGCGGTTGTTCATAAATTACGCCACACTAAATTTATTAAAAATAAACGTTAGTGATCATATTGGTCAATATTACAAATTGCGATCCTTTATTATTTTGGGCATTAACTAAAAGTTTAAAGATATTGTAAACATGATATTGGAATCTAGTTTTTATAACACTTGCTTAACGTTTTTTGTTGATTCTTTAGGTTTTTGCAAATCTTGTAAAATCAAGTTTTGTTAAAATCTATTTGAAAAACTTTAAAAAACTAGTAAAAGCAAACAAACAAACAAAAACAAATAAACACAAATATTTTTATATAAAAAGAAAAAAATAAAAATAAATTTTTTGCATTTTTTAAATAATAAACGGAATAAAAACGTTTTTAATAAATACAACATTAATAAATGTAAATATAAAATTACAAACATAAAAAAATAATCTTGAAGGCGCTTGATTTTCAATCTTGACGGTTCCTTATGCCAAAACTTTTTCACTAAGCTTAATACTTGACTGTCCAAGCTGCTACATAGCTTCCGAGATTCATCTGTATTGTACTTTTGCTCAGTAAAACAATGGCCACCCATCTGTTAGAGATAAATCTACAAACGTCGAGTAGTGGTTCGTTTCTCTATGGCAGAAAAGCAAATGCCAAAAGAGCTAGTGTTACTCGGAAGTTCCATCTTTTCTGAAAATTCTATTCAGAAAATTTTCTAAAAACTCTCTTTAAGAAATACACCAAGCTCTTTTAAAAAGCGAAATACCCGAGTTAAATGAAATAGACTTCATATCATCATATCATTCTGCTATTTTGGTAATCACTTCTCAACCATTCTTAAAATTCTTCCTGAACTGTTTGTAATTCGTTACAAGCTCTTGGATAAACGGATATTCGATTTAGGGCGACATGTTATTTCCTCTAAGTTCTTCATCTATTACTACGCAAAGGACTCGGTCAAGAACATAATATTGACAATGGAAGAACTACCGATGAATGGTTAGTCTTACGGTTTTACACATTTCCTTCGTGTTCAGCACTTGATCTAGTTATGCCTGTACAACTTGAATTGATAAATGTGGAAATTTTAATTTCTTTTCCCATAAGCTTGTTACTTTTATTTGTGAGTTATTTTTGGGCTGACTGACTTGGTAAATTGATAGTTATTTTATCTTTTTGGTTCATAAAGACAGTGACTGATCCAGTATTTTTTAGTGTTTAAGGGGAACAATTTGATAAAATATTTTTTAGTCTATTTTCAACTAGACTTATATTTATCGATAAACTTTAAGTTGCATAGTATTATCTCTCAGCGTTTAAAAATTATGACCACATAAAGTTTAAAGCCCCACAAATTGAGGGGGTTACAAATTTTATATGGTCATAATTTTTTAACGCTGAGAGATAATACTATGAAACTTAATATTTATTGATGTATATAAGTCTAGTTAAGAATAGTGCAAAAAGTGTTTTATCAACATGTTGCCTTCACGTTTGCGGTGGGGAAGGGGGTGGTGAAATTTAATGGCTTTTTTTTTCCCAGCCTCCAATCACCGCAATTTTTTGCAAAGCATCATTATTTAACATAATTATAAACATACAAATGTTGACAGATAATGAATTAAATTGAATATACCACATTTATTGTATGACTTATCATGATTAAAGTGTTTTTATTCTTAATTTAACTTTTAAATATGAGAAGATAACAATCCATAATCAATTGGTTGCTGATTTTGATCAAAGACATTAACTTTTTTATTTATGTAGTAAGAATGTGTAAATAATAATAATATAATATAATACACAAACAAAAACATAAAATAAAAATCAAACACGCTTGTTTTATTTAATAATATGGTAAAAACTTTAATATTACGGTGAAAATATTTAATATTATGGTAAAAACTTTATTATTACGGTAAAACATTGAATGTTACGGTACAAGCATTAAATATTACGGTATTAATGAAAGAGTTTAATGCTACTTAAATGCTATTTAGCACATTGCAAATAATTTGTTCACGTCGAAGAATCTTCATCACATGATTTTTTAAATATAACTTGTGGAGTTCCACAAGAATCTATTCTGGTTTTTATTTTTGAAACTTTGATTGTTACAAAGTTTCAAAAATAATAACACTTATGTTTGCTAATGATTCATACCTATTTATATCTAATTATAACACCAATAAACTTTTTTATGATATGAACGTTGAGTTATCAAAAATCTCTGATTGGTTCGAATCATATAAACATTAACTTAATATTGATAAAATTAAATGGACTCTATTCCATTCACATTTTTTGAAAAATTTACATTCGAATGATATGCCACTTTCTTATGAACATTCAAATGAAAAGAACAATTTCCGCAAACTTTTAAGATATCGTTGTAGATGAAAATTCATCGTGGAAGATTCACATCGGACGTTTATGCAACAAGTATTGGAGTTTTATAATGAAGGAAGCGTTTTAAACATCTTTATAGACTCTCATATTTATTATATTGAAATATTGCTTGGGGTAGTACCCACAAATGTAAATTGTAGCCATTTTGTTGTCAATAGAAGCCTATTGCACGTCTTATAAGCTTATAAACTTCAAATATCGTTTTGATATATATATTTTAAATAAAAATAAAAAAATTCTTTAGGAAATTATAACTTTATTAAACAACCATTTTTCGAAAGAAACTTTGGTAAATCTTGCATTTTCAATAAAAGATTATTTATGAAACCAAATAATTTTTGAAAAATTTTGATTTTTCCTATTTGTTCAAAAGAAAATTAAAAGAAGTAATTTTTCTAATTGAAAACATACTAATATACTTTTAAAACAAAAAATGCGCAAAGTTTTGGTAACTTGGTTTCTCACACAACGAAACAATCTATGGCTCTTTAGTTTCTTCTGCAGAACCTTTTGAGCAATCTGGAAATTTATTTGTAAGTACCTTAATGTAAACATATTTTTATTATATTTTGACAAATAATATTTTATTAATTATATTTGACAATTAAGATTCAGTAAAATTTATTTTAAAAATTATTGACGATATTTTTTGCGGTTCGGAAGACTCAGTAGTTCGATTGACGCAAGTAAACACCATAATGTTTTAATTTCTTAAACAGCGTTAGGCAAAAAAAAAATCAAATATCTCATGAAAAAAAAGACTTCAAGGTTTTAGTCACAGTGACAAGATGTAACAAGGCCGTCTGTACTTTAAAGAAGACTGGGGTATTTCACAAAACTTGTGTGCACAGCGCGTGCCCTTTGCTAAAATTCAGCTTATATTTGGCTCAAGTGAAACAAGGTTACTATGGCAATATGTAATATTTCAACTCCGGTCACGGTTAATAAAAAAATTAAAGCGCGAATTTCTAGCATAATCAAAAATTTATTCATAGAATCTTAAAAGTTAAACTTTACCTTACTTTTAAAGTAGCTTTATTTTTAAAGGTGTTTAAGAAGTTAGCTTGCTTTTTGCTATAAAGCAATTAGCTAGCTGACTTAAATAAATAAGTTATGAAAAATGTCAAATCAAGGAGCAGTACTGCAATCATACAATAACGAACTTGTCAAATGTAAGTACTTAGGTGTTTTCAAAAGTAGTTAAAGATTTATAATAAACAGTACACTATTACATACATGTCTAATTAACAATATCTAATTAACATGTCTAATTATAGGATACTTAATGTTGTTATAATAACAATAGATTTTTAAATAATTTTTGAAATCTGTCATAATATATGACAGATTTCAAATTTATTTAAAAATCTATTGTTGTTATAACAACATTAAGTATCCTATATTTTACCCATGGAGCTCTAAAATAAAAAAAATAGTTTTTGTTTATACCTCACTATACTATAGTGAGGTATAAACAAAAACTATTTTTTTACTATTACTATTACTACTATAGTCTATAGTAGTAATAGTAACTCATTTTGATAATAATTACTTTTAAAGAAAAGCATTTTTATAATTTCTTTTTAAATAAAAAAATAAGACATAAGACATAAAGACATGACCTTAATGGGTTTTATTTTAGCATAAGATTAGGGCTTGGTTTCCAGCCTGCTGAAAAATGCTAAATAAAGTGAAAAATGAATGATTTGTAGCATTATTATGCTAAAAAAACTGTGAATCTTTATTAGTTATAAATATTAGTTGTTTAGTAGTTTAATTTGCATACAATCATTCTATACAGATTCAATGGTTTTTTCTTAAGGTTATTCTGTTTAAATCTTGGTTTATCTTTTATAGACAAAATATTTATATTAATTATTAACTTGATAAAAGTTAAAAAAAATTTAAGAAACAGATGTTTTAAGGGAGAATAGTTAGCAATGATAACTTTAATGATTGGCTATAGAAAGATTCTAAAATCAGGTGTTAAGTTTGCCACATGTTTATAGAATTCTCTTAAAGTGAATGCTGGATAATTCCACATCAAATCGCCCAAAATTTAGTAAATTTTGAACCATTGGTTCTCAAATTTTTAAAAAACTTCTTTGGTTGTTGCATGTTAAAAAGAAAAGTTAACACATAAAATTTCAGCTAAAAATATTGAGCGGTTGACAAGATACTGCAATTTTAATATTGACCTGTTTTCCCAAAATAAACCGATTTTCATAACAATCTAAAAAAGTATTTTTCATAAAAAAATTAGAAATAAAAATGGCAAAAATATGAAAATAAACATATATGTTTTTTTGATGTTAAATTCAATAAATGTACTTAAATTCTGAAATAATAAAGGAACATGCTTAAAAGTGGCCAATGCTATTCGCACAGCCGCCGTGTTTCCATTCTAAAAAGCCTATTCGCACGGCCGCAAAACCAAATAATGCAATTATAAATGAATTTTTTAGTCACTTTCTGATGATAGATTTTCTTCAAATTTTGTTTAAATACTCTTGCTTGATGACAATATTCCATAATTAGTTTTGCAATAAGTTAATTAATTTAGATTTAAATTAAATTTATTTTTTATATGGAAAGGAGAATTTAAAATTTTTAAATAAGTATACTAATTGTTTGTATACTTAAACGCACGTTTAGCTTAATTGGTAAAGTAGTCGACTATGTAAACTAATGGATGGAGGTTCGAGTCTTGCCTCTTCCTGGATATTTTTTTTTTTTTTTTTTTTATGCATGCATACACCCAAATGTTAATAAAATAAAATGGTATTATCAGAAAAAACTTATTGCAAAATTTGTGTTTTTGAAACATATAAAAGCACTGGGTTTTAAAAATTAGTTTTTAATTTTACTTGTTCTATTTGCATTTTTTTTAGAATGGCAAAGAATTCTATGTAATTACCAAAGCTGTCATTTTTTTTCAGATCTTCCTTTTCAGCTTTTAATTTGTTTTGTTGTGCCTATTAATTAATATTAAAGTTATGGTGCAGTCCTATTTTAAATTTTGCCGATTTGACTATGCAAACACTATTTCTCAACTGTTTATATGACAGCCGTGCCAATAGTCTTTTTTAGAAGTTGTTCACGGCGGCCGTGCCAATAGACACTATCCGTAAAAGTTAATAAAACAATTAGTTTCTATATAACAACTTTGGGGCTTAATATCTTAAAACACCCCCCTCAATTTTTGTTTTTTTTAAACTGAAACATATAGAACTTTCATTTCAAAGATGTATCAAATTTTCAGTAAATTATTTTAAAAAACTTCCAAATAAAAACTCTGTAAAATATTAAGTTTAGTTTATAGACTTCTTAAAAAACAAAACAATTTTGTTATATTTAAAGAAGTCTTAATTATATGATAACTTAGTTATTTGATCTTAACAACTGAAAAAAACAGCCTGTTTTGTTTTTATATAAAAACTGAGTAAGTGTGATATTGAAGTACATTTGTTTTTAAATTTAAAAAAATTAACAATTTGATACGTATATATTGTATATATATAAATATATCTATAAAGAAAATTAACAATAACTATCAGTGCAAAACATACAACAGAAGGATTTAGAAAAGGTTTGAATTATTTCTATATTGAAAAAAAAAATTTTTTAACTGAAAGTAGGAAAAAAGAATTCTCTTTTTTTATGAAATACATTCATACTAAGTAGTTTATTTTAAGATGACAAAATGGTAAGTAACATTACTAGAAAAACTAAAAGTCGAGTCAATGTTTCCTCAAAACTGTGTTTAAAGCAAATAACATGAAAAGAAAAAAAGGCTGAAAACTTTGATGAAATTATGAGTTTGATAAAAGAAAAAGTTCTATATTCTGACATAAGGACTATTGCTCAACTTCTAACACTTGCACCCCCATGTTGGTCAATATTAGAATTACAAAATAACTTTGCAGTTACAGAATGCCAAGCAAAAATGGCTAGACAAATTTTTTAATAAAAAAGGATGGTTTTCTATCTCTCCGTTGTGTAAAGGTAAAATCTTACACAAAAAAAATAAAAGATTTTGTTAAATTGTTTTATGACTAGTGATTTATGTAGAATTATGCCTTAAAAAAAATGTTAGCATTCAAAAGTCCATAAACAAAAAGAACTGCTTTTGTGTAATTTAAAGGAACTATATCTATTATACAAAGAAAACAATCCAGAAATACAAATTTTTTTTTTAATTTTTTTTAATTTTGTAGTAGGTGTAGGTACTCCCAGAAGTCTTTATAGTCTTATGACAGAGCACCGTGGGAGAGTGTTTAATAGGAAGTTCACACTTCTTTTCGTACCAATGTTGTTTTTTGGGCTAGAGCTGGCGTCGAACCTCGGACCTCTGGGTTCAGAACTTTAACCACTGCGCCACGGCTGCTGAATAAGTTACTCAAAATTTCCCTCACTTAGACCAAAGTGGTGCATTTTGGTCAAAATTTGCATGAGATTTTTTGGAGTACACAAAGATGATTTTGAGATACACTACAAGCAATGGCAAACTATTGATTGTGCAACACTATTGAGTTTAACAATATGGTTTGGATGGTTGCGCAGGTCAGTACAAAAATTATGAAAGCTTTTAAAATCTATGCCAACTAGAAAGTGAATTTGCCCTTAAAGTTGAGTGGAACTTTTTTGCCACATCCTACAGAACGTCACTTTACTCGTAGATTTAATCAATTTATACATCTTGGTGATAACAGGGTTGGGTCAAAGAGATGTAGTACAGAAACTAATTACACAAATAATTAGTTTTTGTATAATTTACAATAATTTTTTTTTTTTTAAGATTGTGGACTAAATAATCCACAATCTTAAAAAGAAACAAGATATATTTCAATTTGATACTGTCACTTTAGGAGGTTATGTAGCTGTAGTCTATGTGATAAGTGGTGGATCGGCATTGTAACTGAAACCAACCTAGATAAGTTTGATATCAAAGTTAAGTCTCCACCCAAAAGGTCCATCAATCTATTTTAACTGGCCTGAAAGCGACGACTACTGTTTTTTTCCCAATATCAACATATTAAAAAAATTATCTGTTCCATAAGCTTGCTCTAATTCTAGTAGAAACTATGTGTTTGAAAATGCTGAAATATAAAAAGTACAAGTAAAATGGCAGCAATAATAAGAACTATTACAAACACAGTCAAAATAATTTACATATTTCATACCTTGAAAAATCTTGTATATTTTAGTAATTTTTTAAATTACGAATTTTTATTATTACTTATTTTTATTTTATTTACAAATATTTTTTGGGAATTTCTTGAAAAAGTGATATATCTTTGAAATTAAAGTTCTATATATTTATTTTTTTGTGTTTAGTAAGATTATAAGCAGCTGAAAATATTAACAGCAAAAAAAAAAAAAAAAATTTGTCAGGAGTATTTTAAGATATTGGACCCCAAAATTGGTTTATAGTAAATTCATTGAACTCAGCATCAAAAAAATGTGTGTTTATTTTCATATTTTTTCCATTTCCATTTCTTATTTTTTTTAAGGAAAACATTTTGTCAGTATGTTATGAAAACCAAGTCATTTTGGGAAACCAGGTCAATACTAAAGTTGCAGTATCTTGTCAACCGCTCAACATTTTTAGCTGAAATTTTGCATGCAATATTTTTTTATAATTAGGAATAATGTGTCAAAATATAACACAAAAAGATGACACATGGTTCAATGGACTGGGTGATCTTTTTTGTCTTTTTTAGACATAACTATACACAAAGTTAGTTCTTAAGTTACCACTACCGTTTTTTATTTAAAAAAAATATTTCTGGTCTTCACACTAATTTTTAAAGTTTTACTCCATTTTCTAGGAGAGTTAATCTAATCAAATGCTTAATTGATAGAATGTTTAAATTAATACTTGGGTTTCACTTTACATAAATGACCTTTTTAAGGTATTTTAAAGAAACAAGTAACCATCTTGGCTTATTTTAAAAATATATAACTCTTATTCAAACAAGATTAACTCAAATACAACCAAAAACCAAAGAATGCTTGTCTTATTTGAACTACGGTTTTTTTAAAAAATATCTGATTTAACTAAAAAAAGACTAAATTCAATTTTTAAAAGATATTGCCATTCTGCAAATAATAAATTAGTATTTACCTTCTAAATATTTGCATTTATAATTTCTAAATTATTTATTTTTAA